CCCTCATAGCCCTCTTATGTACATAGCCTCTCCCTGATGGCAGGTTGCCAAAGGTTGCCAAAAGAATGTCCAGAGAGTCATGAAGATCCCCTGGGAAAAGGAAGGAGGGAAAACAAACATAGTGTGTGCATACCGTAGGGGAGAGGTGGCCAAGGAAGTTTTTTTTTTTTTTTATGAGCTTCCCCCCCCCTCCTAGCCCTTCTATATATAGCCCTCCTATACATTGATGGACTTGCATGTTCCTTGTAGTAGTACTACTGTATGCATCTATGATATGGATGCTACATAAGTAGCGCATAGCAATACGTACACACATTTTCAACATGTACTTTGCATATGTAAAGGAATTCTTCTAGGATTGACAGCAATAAAGACTCTTTGGTTGCAACTGACTTTGCTCGTAAGAGTTGGCACAAGGTAAGGGCAGCTCCAACTTACCCTCTCTCCAAAAATATGTTTTTCCTGCATATTTCATAGTAATTTGCTATGCCACTGCATATCTAATCCAAGTACCCTGTTACCATAATTGTTTGGCTGTGCTTTTGTAATCTTTTGTGACAGGATGAGTACCACCCAAAAAGAGGTAAGACTGTTTTTAAAACTTGACAGAAAACAGCTATGACACAACACATTGGACTAGGAAGTAGCAGCTCCCAGAATGCATTCATATGGAAAGGGGTCCCTTCTCAACCCTTTTGACCACTACTCACTCTTGCTCTTAATTCTTTTATCTATAAACTGTATTAAAAGTTTCAGGGATTGTTTGTGCTTTAGTGGGTGAATGGTTTCAACCAGTATGCAAGCGCATTGTCACAAGTGCGCAGTATCAGTATATATACAGTAGAAATGGCAGCTTCGAACATACACTGATTTCTAGAGGGTATTTTGTGATAAAGGCAATTTTTTTTGCAGATACCATAGCCATTTGCTGTGTCAACACATCCAAGCTGCATTTGCACTTAGAATGCAAATATTTTATATATACATTTTTCTTATATAGTACATAAAGTTATGGAATGGGTGGCATATAAGTCACCTATACCCTTAAAGACACAAGTTTTCTACATTTTTCCTGCATATGCAATGGTATTCTTCCAGGTTTCAATGCAGGAAAAGATCTTTGCTTAAAATATCGATTGATCACAAGAGTTGGCAAATTCCAGGGGCACTTCCATTTCCCCCTTGCTTCAGAAAAGGCGTTTTTACCCGCATATTCCATGGTATTTTGCTGTGTCACTGCAAATATAGTGGCAGGCATTTTATTACCATACATGTATTCATGGCTGTGGGCAAAACTTGAACTATGTCAGTATAAGTTCATCATGGTAACCAGAAGGGCACAAGACCAAGTAAAGGAAACACTTCAGCAACCTTACCAAACAACTGTATCTATAGAATGGCTGCCTTGCTTGTGCATTGATGCAGCAAGTTACCATCAAGTATGCCAAAAAATGCAACTAATTGAGGAGGGAGAGTAGATTGGAATTTGCACTTTCATTGACTAAAAGAGTTCCACTGGAACTATGATGTCAACCAAAAGGCGACCTGGCAACCCAATATCAAAAACCACCAATGCAAATACAAAGTGCTATGTATATGTATATATATATATTGTCTTTGCAATAGCTGTATACCTAGGTAGTGCCTATACATTAATATATACATGAAGTACCAACTGACACAATGAATCTCTATGTTTCAAGATGTTGTTGGGCAAAGAACTTTGCCATTCATGCACTAAGATCACTTATTCAAAAACAATAGAGCTACAAAGGGCAAGCAACCAAGAATAGAGCTAAGGATTAACAAGCCAAAAACAGTGCATCTCCCAAGAACTTTGATCTTTCATATATGATCAAAAGTGAAAAAACAAAAAATAGTCAAAAAAAACGATTAAAACCACGTATTTTTGGGACCTGGTGGCGTACCACTCTCTATGTATATGTATATGTATGTAATAATATATATATATATATATATGTAAAAACATATATACACAATAATGTATATATATATATGATAATGTAAATATATATATATATATAATATAGGTATATTTTTAATATATATATATGTAATAATAAATGTAATAATGTATATATATATACATAATACATTTATTATAATATATATATATATATATAATCTAATATCTAATATATAATTTAAAATAAATAAATCAAAAATCAATAAATATATATATATATACATAGATATTTTTTGAAAAAAACAACTGGTTAGTGGGGTGTCTAAAGCAACAAAAATAACGAGGGCACCACGCTGTAGGCCTTTTAATTCGGCAGAGGTTCACTTTGGAGCATATTATGAGGGAACCCAATAATCAATCAAACAGGCTTGTTGATCTGACATTATTACATTCGGGGATACTGAACCAGTAAACCAACAAAATCATGGACTGACTAGACACCTCAAAAACTCGGGCGCAAACTAGGATTGAATCATCCTTTCCATGGATATATGGATGTATATTGGAGGTATGAACCAGCAATCGCTGGGGTACTCAGTAGCCATGGCATGTCAGCTCTGTGCTTCGACGAAGTGATTCCCAAATCGACCCTCTTCACATTCGAAACCAAGGCGCCGGCAGAAGGCTACTCGGGGGAGCATTGGAACGTCTTTCGCTCAGATCGATCTCTTTTGAGCGCAGAACATACATCAACCTGTGGGACTCTGAAGGCCCCCAAGTTCCCATAGATCATTTCCTGGGGCTTCCTGCTGAGTTTTCCAAATAATTAAGGCCCACAGATCTGTGGTTGAACCAGGGAGTGCACCCGAAGACCAGAAAGACCTAACGTCGACTGCATTGAACGGCACAATATTATATATATATATATGTTTATGTATATATATATATCCATATATATATATAAATATGTATATATATATATGTATGTATGTATGTATGTACTTATGTATGTACTTATGTATGTATGGATGGATGTATGTATGTACATGTATATACATGTATATACATGTATATACATAAATATATATATACATATATATATATACATATATATATATACATATATATACATATATATATATATATACATATGTACATATATATATAAATATATTTATATATATTTACATATATATATGCAAATAAATAAATAAGTAAATATATATATATATGTATGTATGTACATGATTGTACATGCGTATATACATATACATAATGTATACATTATCATCTAGAACATATCCTGCATATTTTTCCATTTGGACGTTCCTAGGCAACTGCCAAACAGTTCTAAAACACTCGGACGTGGCAAGCCTCGCACCAAAATCCTGGATCAAGGGGTCCGTAGAACGCAGCCATTCGGCTGCGACATGTTTGCACTCTAGCGTCACGGGGCAATCGAAGACCCCCATGGCCCAATTGAGCGCTGAGCCGAAAATGCTAATAGTTGGAATCTGAGAACGAAAAACATATCAATGGAGGGCGGAAATTTGGATGATTTTTGAAGTCATGAAACGCAAACCAAGGGGAAGGCTATTTTGTATCACAAAACTGAAACATGTGTTCATGATTTCCCCCTATTTACCATCATTTATGGTGTACGTTGTGAGGCCCAGCATGGTTCGGCCGGTAAAGTCTCTCCATCCATGGCTTCCTGTAGGTCTTACCTTAATCCAGCCCATGGCCAAACTTAGATAATACACCAAGAAAAAGCTACTAACTTGCCAAACCAAGCTTCATTGAGGAACATGGTCTTCATTGGGTTTGTTTGAAGGAAGGTTTGGAGCTTTGCGCGTGTCTATTCTTTTGTCAAATGTCATTATATAAATGCTGGCGGCTTCAGTAAAATCATACCAGAACATGCAAACCTCAGGCTATCTCTGAGTGTTTAGTCATCAAATTTTAACAATTTTCAACACATGTTCTGAAACCCAATTCATGTAACTCCACCCAGTGCTTGCCACGTCAACACGCCTGCCGCACTTGGTGGTGCCCGGCCATCACGGCCCTCAAGGCCCTCACGGCCCTCACGGCCGGGCCGCTGGAGGATGCTCCTGGCCACTCACCTTTTTGGAATGATTTCCCACGATTTCCCCTTCTTCGAGGGACTTCTTTGGGAGGTCATCATTCACCCGGATTGATATTAGCCAAAATTTACCGTAAATGGATGTAAATGGAGGCATCTCTATTTTTTGGAAATTGAGCTGGGGCATGGACAACGATAATACACTCTTCAAAAAGCGATAACATTTGCTTATGTTTGATCTTGGTCATCAATCATCCTTTGTCTTGCGGTGCAGGTTATTCGATGCCTTTATGTAGGCATTCAATGGCAGTAGCAGCTTTCACCATCTGTTCGAGAGATAGGCAAACGGCCAAATCCTGTTTTGAACAGGTGGTACCTGGTGATGTGCATTGCTGTGTGGTGATGGTCTGTTTATGCTGCTGTTTGCGCTGCATGCTGAGTAAATTTAAAGTACTGTGCGGCCACATAATAGTCTTTTGCCTCAGCTCTGAGTAGTGACAAAGCGCCATGCTGGAGAAAGGAAAGAACAAGGTCTTGCCTTGCAGCAGGAAAAGTGTGGGTGCTCTAGATTCCGCTCTTTCCTCTATTCCTTTTGGAGTCTGTGCTTTTCGGTTTCCGTGGCAGCCTCAAGCTTTGTTCACACCGCATTAAGAAATTTCAGAAGAAGGGTTTGCCAGAATCATTGTTTTGCAGTTTTTTTTGATCCAGCCAGGTGTCCAAAACGATACCCCGAACGACAATGAACCGACAACCCGAAAATCACATAATCCCTATCGGCCAGACGCTGGCCCATGGAAACTGTTTTTCTTGGCGAACGTTGCTCGTCCAAGATGAGCAGCAAGCAAGTGCAAGACATGGCAGGGCTCAGATGTTTCCTGAATGAGTTGTTGGAACTGAAAGTGGAAGATGTGAAAACGAAGCTTTCGTGCGAGACATCCCTCGAAAACTGAAAGTGGAACATGTGAAAATGAAGCTTGCGTCAGTTGTGGTGGTTGTGATAGTGGTGGTGACAGTGGTGGGTGATAGTGGTGGTTGTGATGTGATCGTGGTGGTTGTGCTAGTGGTGGCGACAGTTCCGTGAAGAAAATGAATGTCCGAGAATTTCGCTTGATTGTGCTGCATTTGAAAGTGTCAGGAAGTATCTCATCCCTTGCTGGAAAACCATCAGAATACAATAGAATATACAAGGAATACGAACATGGTTTTCCCAAACCTGAAAAACGACAATACACTCTTCAAAATTTGATGACTTGGAAATATGTATACATACCAACGTAACCCAAAGACAGGACAGTTGGACGCATAAAAATGATGAATCAATTCTCATGTCCGATTGCCTGAACAAAAAACATATATTAATATTGGATAAAACGAGGGGATATTCAAACTTATTGTCAAGTATAGAGCTACAGGTTTCTTGATTTCAACGCTCAACGGTTCCAATCAGACTTTCGTTTGGCAGATTCCACAGCCTATGGTCCCAGTCCTTGCGTCCAAGTTGGAGAAGCCGCGAATGCTCTCCAAGTTGATATTGGGATCGTCGCTGCCTCGACCAAGCACCCTGTAGCTGAACTGTCTTGCGGCAAGGTAATCTTAGATCCCGTTTTTGTTGAGAATCTGTAGTAATGAGTCCAACAAAGCCGTTCCCAAAATGTCAAATGACCTCAAAATCTCTGTTCTTATACATATATATATATATTAAATATCGCGATATCGCGAAAAAAGGAAACCTCAACATACATAGATGCAACACTACACCAAGGCTTTCAAGGCTGTATTTGATATTTTGGGAGTCTTAGACCGCAACAGTATTACGATTAGTAGCGAGTTTTTCAGTCAAGAGGACAGTCTCCATATCCTACCAGATCAACAGGGGTGTTTGCTCCTGGTCTTGAAGCACCGGTCAGCAACCCGCATCAGCGTTGCCACCGATATCTTACTAAGTGGGACAGAAACCTGTCCATGTTGGCACGGGATACCCTCGGATACCCTCCAGCGAAGGCTCGGCCATTTTGGTCCTTTTGTCGTCGACTTGTTGAGTCGATCTCGTCTTTTTTTTGGATTCTTCCTAATAGCTTTTGTCTGGGCAGCTACGGCTGGAAAAATCGGTTTTAAGCGGCAAAGCTTGGACAAACAGAAGGATCCTAGTTTATCAAACTAGGAAACTGAGGTCTTCAGCGCGTTCAGAAGCAAGTTCCCTATTTTTCTAATTTTTCCATGGGCAACCGCGGCTGGAAAAATCGGTTTTAAGCGGCAAAGCTTGGACGAACAAAAAGATCCTAGTTTGTCAAACTAGGAAAACGCGTTTTTTGAAAGGTTTGGGAGTTGTTTTTTGATGAATATTAGGTTTGGGAGCCTCAATTTAAAGGAAAAATTGTCAAACAGGCTGTGCGAGCGTGTTTGTGGGCAGATGAGATCAATCCCAATATTTACGTACAATGTGTGGAGGTTAACCATGTTCAAACACTGATAAACAATGTTTTCACGTTCATATCAGTTCATACCAGTAGTACCGCACAAGGCGGTGGCGGAAGTTTCAAAAATAAATAGGAAACCTATAGGAGAGATTGGTTGTTGTGAATCAGGGATGGCAGAGAGAATCCAATGATGGACCAAAAGGTGCTTGAGGTCTCCTCTCTTTCTCTCTCTTTGTGACTACCTACCTACCTATCTACCTATCTATCTATCTATCTAGCTATCTATCTATCTAGCTATCTATCTATCTATCTAGCTATCTATCTATCTAGCTATCTATCTATCTATCTATCTAATCTATCTCTCTCTCTCTCTATCTCTCTATCTCTCTCTTTCATCTGTCTATCTGTCTAGCTGTCTATCTGTCTATCTATCTATCTATCTGTCTATCTGTCTTCCTGTCTATCTGTGGTGCAGTGTCATTCAGTGTAATGTAGTGTAGTGTAATGTCGTGTAGTGGAGTGTAGCGGAATGTAGTGTAGTGAAGTGTAATGTAGTGTAAAGTGTATTTGTAAAATTTAGTGTAGTGGATGTAGTTGGTGTAGTCGTAGTTGTAGTTGGTTGTAGGAGTGTAGTGTAATGTAGTGAAGTTGTAAGTGAAGGTAGGTGGTTAAGTTTTAAGGGGTTTAATTGTAGGTGTCATTTTGTGCTGGTGGAGTGTAGTGTAGTTAGGTGGAGTTGGTGGTGTTGGTAGGTTAATTCACTACTCCTGGAGGTTAGTATTTTAGACTGTGGGTATTGTAGGTTATGTGTGAGGTGTGTGGTGTTGTGTTTTGTTGGTGTGAGGTTTTGATTCTTTTGTGAGTGTTGTGTGTTGTGTATTGTTTAGGTGGTAGTGGATGTAGGCTTGTTGGAAGTGGTATTTGTCGTGTTGGAGTGCAGTGTGGAAGGTATGTATTGTCATGTATTGTCGTGTAGTGGAGTGTGTAGTGGAGTGTAGTGGAGTGTGTTTGTGTAGTTGTAGTTGTAGTGTAGTGGAGTGTAGTGTAGTGTAATGTAGTGTAGTGTAGTGAAGCGAAGCGACATCTGAACCTCCAAAAGTGGTCCGAACCCCTGGTGTTTTTAACATTTTGACTTGGAAATGTGCTTCGTCCCACAACCGCGTGCATTTTATCGACATCTGAACCATTAAAAGTGGTCCGAGCATGATGTGTTTTGTACATTTTGACTTCGAAATGTGCTTCGCCCCACAACGGCGTGCATTTTATCGACATCTGAACCATTAAAAGTGGTCCGAGCATGATGTGTTTTGTACATTTTGACTCCGAAATGTGCTTCGCGCCACAACGGCGTGCACTTTTTCAACATCTCAACGTCCAAGAGTGCTCCGTACCCCTCAGTTTTTTGCACTTTTGACTTCGAAATGTGCTTCGCGCCACAACCGCGTGCACTTTTTCGACATCTCAACTTCCAAAAGTGGTCCAAACATGGTGTGTTTTGTACATTTTGACTTCGAAATGTGCTTCCCGCCACAACGGCGTGCACTTTTTCGACATCTCAACTTCCAAAAGTGGTCCGAGCATGGTGTGCTTTGTACATTTTGACTTCGAAATGTGCTTCGCGCCACAACGGCGTGCACTTTTTCGACATCTCAACTTCCAAAAGTGGTCCGACGCTGAGGTGTTTTCTACATTTTGACTTCGAAATGTGCTTCGCGCCACAACGGCGTGCAATTTTCATCTCTCATCTGGCCAGCTGGCTCTGCACCCGCCGCTTTAGCGAGCCTACTTTTCAACCCTCCGGAGCTTCAAATCATTGGAAAAACACAGTGTTTCGCGACTTTCCTACCTTTTCGCGCATCTGCGTCTTCTTTCTTCTGACTCTTTCTCTTCTCTGATCTTCTCTCTTCTACTCTCCTCTTCTCTCTTCCTCTGCCCAGCTCTGCTTTTCATCTGTCCATACTGTCGGAAGTTTGACTTCTAAACTTCCTTCGATTATATTAAATTATATCTTCACATTTTTCCACAGGTGATATAGTCTGACTGGTGTGCAAATGTTTCATCACGACTATGTATGTATGATATGTATTGTATCATATAATTATACATATATAAACTTTGTAGAATTGTGAATATATATATATAGTAATATAATATCGATATATAACTGATATATATATATATCGATAAATAAATTTGCGCATGCACATTTTTCAACCAACGACAAAAACAACAACATGCTAATTGCTAAATCAACACAAGTTCTTGGTCAAAAAGAATTTTGATCTATCCCCTTCCACAACGGCGTGGTTCCACGCCCCTCGACGTTTGGGACGCCCCAGCCACTGAGGGAAAAGGCACCTTTCTTCTTAGCCTGAGTGCAGTCACAGTATGTGTAGAGTCCAAAACGGGTACCCAAGAAGCTGGGGCTGGAATTTCTTCAATATGGTATGGTCACTATGCACCTATGTACTTAAAATTATATATATACACATGATTTATATCTATGTATACAATAAATTACTTTACTTCGTGTGATCCCCACCATGACATTTATACATTTTCTTACTGGCAAATCTTCTGGCATTCTATCTGACATATCTTCTGACATTCTATTTGGCATTCTATCTGGCATATCTTCTGGCATATGTGCATATCTTCTGGCATATCTTCTGGCATTCTATCTGGCAAATCTTCTGGCATTCTATCTGGCATATCTTCTGGCAATCTATCTGACATATCTGGCATTCTATCTGGCATATCTTCTGGCATATATTCTGACATATCTTCTGGCATTCTATCTGACATATCTTCTGGCATATATTCTGACATATCTTCTGGCATATCTGGCATTTCTTCTGGCATATCTTCTGCATATCTATCTGGCATATCTTCTGGCATATTTTCTGGCATTCTATCTGGCAAATCTTCTGGCATTCTATCTGGCATTCTATCTGGCATATCTTCTGGCATATTATCTGGCATTCTATCTGGCATATCTTCTGGCATATCTTCTGGCATTCTTTCTGGCATTCTTTCTGACACTCTTTCTAACTTTATTCTGCACATTCTTTGTCCCATATCTTCCTACATGAGGTCCGGCAGGGAACACTTGGCGTGGATACTCGCGGTTGAGGTCCGGCAGGGAACACTGGGCGTGGATGGTCGTGGTTGAGGTCCGGCAGGGAACACTGGGCGAGGTTGGTCGTGGTTGAGGTCCGGCAGGGAACATTGGGCGTGGATGGTCGTGGTTGAGGTCCGGCAGGGAACACTGGGCGTGGATGGTCGTGGTTGAGGTCCGGCAGAGAACACTGGGGATCGCGGGTCGCAGTTGAGCAAGGACGACGAGGACGACGAGGACGACGAGGACGACGAGGAGGACGAGGAGGAGGAGGAGAGGAGGACGAGGCAGGAGGAGGCGGAGGAGGAGGAGGAGAAGGAGGAGGAGGCAACTGACATAAAATCTAACAACCCTCACCTGGCAGGTGGGGAATAATTGTTGAAAGAACATGCGAGTCAAGTGACTACCCGGTAGACAAACAATCATCAAAAGGAACACAATGCCATGCGAATCTGTCGCCAGCCTTGGCATGAAAAGCAACTTGTTTGGATGCCAGCTCCAGCGCTTGAGAGGTTCGTTAATAACCTCTGGTCATCAAACATGGCAATATGACATCCTCAATAAATGGAGGTTTATAGCTTATAGCTGGAAACATCATCTATAAATGGTGGATTTTCCACCAAGCCATGTTTGACTACCGGAGCGTATCCTCTTGATTCTTGATAGAAGGGTTCCTTAAATCCACAGTCATAACATGCTTTGGCTGGTAATACAGCCCGTGTTTAACCATCATTTGCTGGCATCTGCTGTTTCATATCCCAATTTGGTGTAGGTCCATCTCCCAGTTTTGATACTCATAATCAATATATACTGAGTGTGAAAATGAAGTTTTCCCCCAAACTGCTACTGTTTATCACCATCTTCCCACATTTTCCCCTTCAAAAATGTCTGGTAGCTTTTTACCCTCCAGTAGACAGTCAGAGAGATATGGAAAATATGGAAAATCCATAGACCTCTTAGCTTGGAGTTTCCAGTCAATATTCACATAGATGTGGAAAATCCACCATGAATGTAGATTATTTAACGGGAAACCATGGATTTCCGTTCGCTTTTCCTACCTGTGGGACACGGCGCCACCTTCCCTGTACCAACAAAGAACGAGTTCAATCGCTTCTTGCGGAAGCTGTCCAGGCCTGGCCATGGGGATACATGGGATGTAACTAAAATCTAGCTACTGGGGATTTGAGCATGAACATATGCTACAATATGGAATAGGAATATGATTTGTTGATGAAATAATATGGACAGGAATATCATATGGACTATGGAATAATATTTGCTAATGGGAACACATTATGATTTAATGGAATATGCATGAACATATTATATAGGATTTGCTATTGTAAGTAATCAATCAAGTTAATACGTCGACACTGTCTACACCTTCCGGTATTTCAACATAGCCATGGAACATTGCCAATGCGTACTTGGTAAATCATCTGCAAAATGGGTATTTTTTCACAGCTGTGTCAAATGACCAAAGGGCATGTGTATATATATATATAATGTACATACATGCATGTATATATATATATATGTATATATATATATATATACATGCTTTTCTTGACCCACCCCAGGGGCTCAACTGAGGAAAAAAAAACAGCTGCTCCAAATTGGCAATTTTTGGGCCCCGTCGCTACAGTTTAGATTCAGTTTAGATGTTGGAAAGTGCTAGAATTGTTTTTTTTGCTGGCAATTCCTCTGTTTGAACATCCCATTGGGAGTCAATATCCCACTGGAACACACTGATGGCACCAGAAGCGACATTGCCTGATGAATATCTGATACATATCAATGTCAATGTGCAAACTCTCTATATTCATTCCTTTTGGTGCCTGAGCACTCTTCACGTCCAACACACCTACCGAGCATAGCTCTGCAAGAAACAGGCGGAGAGCCTCAAAGAATTTGCCTCAAGAATCGCTGCGCAAACGGCGGTGGTTCCAATTCATGTGCGCGCGCACAAAGTGAGTGAAGTACACTCCCAAGTAGGCAAGACAAGGTAGAGTCTACCAGGTAGAGTACGCCGGAAAACAATAGAGAAATCCATCTCTATCTACTTGAGAGCCGCAAACATGTTCCAGAAAAATAAGGGATAACCATGACCAACGATCCTGGAAAACAAATGGTAATGTTGCACAGGTACTTGCACTGTATGTGTTCGTGCTATTTGTATGAGTGACACCAATTACATCTATTCAATGTTTTATGCAGGATATACACACATAATATGTGTATATATATATACACATATTTATAGCAAACAGTGTTTGCATTCATTATGATACATGTATATATATAATTAAAGAAATATATATATATATATTATCATTTCATGTATTTACACACATAATGTATAGTATACACATCCAATCACAAATATATATTTTTTAAACAAATATCTGCACCAACCTACAATGTTCATAAATGTTTACTGCATACAATGCTTGGACTATGGAGTTCTAGAAGACATCTTTCCATTCATGCCCTTGTAAAACAAACTGGAGGGCTCGGTTTGATACACCCTATGATATTTTAACATAGCTGTGGAAAACCACCAGTTTTGATACATAAATCATCTTCAATCGGCCATTTTTCATAGCTATTTGAGTTTACCAAAGGGTATCATACAGAATCAATCACTGGCTGGGACAGGTCCACCTCCGGCATAGTTACAAAACTCAACCTCCATGGCTGGGCCACAGGATTTTTTTCCCATATTTGCTGTACTTTTCCGACGGTTTTCCTATGTTTTTTCCCATCGAAACTTGGATATTTTGCATGGCTCGGCTGCAGGCTTTGATCGCTGATCTGTCTCTGGGCCCCGTCACCACATGCTGCAGTGTGGGCATAGCACCTGCCACGGAAAAGACCACGATTTTGGGGGGAAAATTCATGGAAATATGGAACTTGAGTGAAAAAATCATTGAACATGATTGGAATCTGTGTGGTGGATTATCCATTTCCTTGCATTACGAGTCGTTTCAAACCTTAGTACCAACAAATCTAACAAAAAACATGGGCCAAGGTTTTCCAGGCTCTGCAACCTGGAAAAAATGTAGGAGCAATTCCAAAGTTCTGGCTTTCAAGGTCAATTTCCATGTTTCTCCAAGAATAATGGACACGTGTGTATATATATTTATATATACATATATATATACACATATAATATTATACATATATACATACATACATACATCCATCCATACATACATACATTACATTACATGACATGACATGACATGGCATGACATTACATTACATTACATTACATTACATTACAGTACATACATTACATACATACATACATACATACATACATACATACATACATACATACATACATACATACACAACATACATACATACATACATTACATACATACATACATACATACATACATACATACATACATACATACATACATACATTACATACATTACATACATACATACATTACATACATTACATACATACATACATACATACATACATACATACATTACATACATTACATACATACATACATTACATACATTACATACATTACATACATTACATACATTACATACATTACATACATTACATACATTACATACATTACATACATACATACATTACATACATACATACATACATACATACATACATACATACATACATACATACATACATACATTCATACATACATACATACATACATTAATTACATACATACATACATACATACATACATACATATATATATATATATACATATGGGGTTGCGCCAAAATTCGGGTATGGATCGGCCCCCAGTGATCCAGACGTATGGATCGCTCTGGATCACCTGCGTTTTGGTATGGATGGGGGGTATGGATCGGCCTGTGGGATCAGGGTATGGATCGGGGCTTTACATTTTGACTTGCAGCCATTATATATATAATTATTTACTATCAATCGAAATCTTTATGATGAGGTCTCAGGCCGCTACCAGTTTTTCAGATGGCTATTGTTTGTTGGTTTAGAAAGTTTAGAACCCTCATGAATACTATAGAGATATTTTGTTGTATCATACTATCCCGCATAAACCCTATAAAGTGGGCCCCCCGAACGATAGCAAAGTTTGTTTATAACTCCAATAACTATGGTTTATGCATGTGTATGATACGTATAACTAGAGTTTTCATGGGATTCTGAAACCAACAAACATTTCACGACGGGGCCCCACCGACCTGTCCCCACGGACATTAGCCGCACCTGCAAGTCCGGAACGCATGGCCTGCCAGGGTTTGGTCAAAAAAATGCTGTTAGATTCCAACACAATTTATTTAGGCCTTATATATGGTAGATACCTTCAATTTAGGTGCCCGAAATCAAGTGGGAAACATACATGAAAACAAAATGGGGAGTCAGTCCACCAGCCCGATGTCGAAGAATCTTTGTGGCACGCTATGACAATGATCCCGGACCAGTTGTGATTGGGTGTGTACCCCCCGAAAGCTATTTTGATAGGAAAAATGATGATGAACCAATGGATTTAGAGTATATTTTCAGACAAACCCAATTGGTTTTGTCCATGTAAGTGGTGCATAACCCTGCTCCTGGATATTCGCAAACCTACTTACAACTGGAAGGCTCACATCCAACGATGTTCTTGTGGCAATTCAAACACGATTAGGGGGTGGTTTGGTAAAGATTTTCCAATTCATTTCATGTTTGGCAATTTTTTTAAAAAAGGATGATATAAAACTTAGAGGGTTCTGCCCCCTCTATTGATCAACTGGAAAGAATGAATCTATGTCCCCCATTGTCTTAAACATAACCTGGTGAAACCTCCATACGTCTACTTTCTATATAAGAGTAGATCGATCTTACAAGGATCATCCAATTTCCAGGCTTGCAAGTAAGGCATGTGACACCAGCAGTTGCTGCCGCATGAGTATCCGCCATCCAACAGTTAGCCTATCGAGGTCCCCCCTGCCTGAAGTAACACCGTCGCATCTTTGAAGCCCACACCAGACTGGGCCACGGAAGGTGATCTTCAGTTACACCACTTCAGCTTACCCTGCAACATGTTTGCTTTGGCGCGCTGATTTTATGTTTCATCTATGTTCACCTATGTTCCTGTCTTCCTTCGCGGAAATCTAAGGCTTCACCCCTGCGCATGGATGGTGAGTTCTTTTCTATCTTTTTCCCCACATCTTTGTGTGGGGTTCTTGTTTTTGGTTGTGCACTTGCGCCTGCGCGCTCCCGCTCCCGCCCGCCGCCCACACACAACTTACTCACACACACACAACTTGTCCACGCACAACTTACTCACTAACAACTTGTCCACGCACAACTTGTCCACACACAACTTACTCACACACACAACTTGTCCACACACAACTTACTCACACACAACTTGTACACATAACTTGTCACCAAACAACTTACTCACACACAACCTGTCCCCGCACAACTTGTCACCACACAACTTACTCACACACAACTTGCTCACGCACAACTTACTCACACACAACTTACTCACACACAACTTGCTCACAGCTGTTGGCGTGGCAGGCATGGCACTTGGGGACATCGACCTGCACTTTGCGCGGCAGGCGTGGCACTTGGTGACATGGACGTGCATTCTGCTTGGCAGGCGTGGCACTTACGGCATCTGGTGGCGCGCTTGGTTCCCAGTGGACGCCGCGGTCGCCGCGGCTGTTTGTGTGGCAGGCGTGGCACTTGGCGACATCTGCCTTCACTTTGCGTGGCAAGCGTGGCACTTACGGGATCTGGTGGCGCGCTCGGTTCCCAGTGGACGCCGCGGTCGCCGTGGATGTTTGCGTGGCTGGCGTGGCACTTGGCGACATCTGCCTTCACTTTGCGGGGCAGGCGTGGCACTTGGCGACATCGACCTTCACTTTGCGCCGCAAGTGTGGCACTTACGGCATCTGGTGGCACTGGACGCCGCGGCTGTTTGCGTGGCAAGCGTGGCACTTGGCGACATCTGCCTTCACTTTGCGTCGGCTTGGCGTGGCAGGCGTGGCACTTGGCGACATCGACCTCCACTTTGCGTGGCAAGCGTGGCACTTATGGCACTGGACTGGCTCTGGTGGCGTGCTCGGTTCCCGGTGGACGCGTGGCACGCGTGGCACTCCTGGGCTGGCTCTGGTGGCGCGCTTGCTTCCCAGTCAACGCCGCGGTCGCCGCGCCTGTTTGCGTGGCGGGCGTGGCGCTTGGCGACATCTGTCTTCACTTTGCGTGGCAGGCGTGGCACTTGGTGACATCTGCCTTCACTTTGCGTGGCAGGCGTGGCACTTGGCGACATGGACCTCCACTTTGCATGGCAGGTGTAACAATTATGGCACCTGGTGGCGCGCTTGGTTCCCAGTGGACGCCGCCGTGGCAGGCGTGGCACTTGGCGACATCTGCCTTCACTCTGCGTGGCAGGCATGGGACCTGGCGACATGGACGTCCGCGTTGCGTGGCAGGCGTGGTACTTGGCGACATCGACCTACAGTTTGAGTGGCAGGCGTGGCACTTGGCGACATCCACCTAGGTTTTGCGTGGCAGGTGTGCATGGCACTTGGTGACATCCGCGCTGCAAGCGAGTCCATCTCTCTCAAATATGACTTTGTCACACACAACTTTGTCACGCACAATCTTTCACATCTCTCTCTCACATGTAACTTTATCGCACGCAACTTTGTCAAACACAACTCTTTCGCACACAACTTTTTCACACACATCTCTCTCACACGCAACTTTGTCACCCACAACTTCGTCACACACACAATCTTTCACACACATCTCTCTCACATGCAACTTCTCTCTCACACACACACATCTTTGTCACACACACACAACTTTGTCACACACACAACTTTGTCACACACACACAACTCTTTCACACACAACTTTATGCCACTTTGTCACAGACAATCTTTCACACACAACTTTGTCACAATTAACCTTGTCATACACAACTCTTTCACACACACAACTTTGTCACACACAATCTTTCGCACACACACACAACTCTTTCACTCACAGCCTTTCACACACAACTCTTTTACACACAACTTTGTCACACACAACTCTTCACATACAACTCTTAAAATTATCGACCCTCCACCATCTCCTTTGTCCTTTCTTCTTTCTCCGTGCCGCTTCAACCACTTTTTCTGATTATTGGATGAAGTTGACTTGTGGGGTTATCCGGTCCTTTAATTTTGACTTCTATGCAAAAAGCCAAGAGATGCCAAGAGAAACAAGATAAGGTGGCGGGCCCCACTTGTAGTAGTCATAATCAAATGAGGTTCAGATGCCCCCAACGTCTGTAAACTAAATATTTACAGTCATTTGCCTACGTTTGGGTGATTTTGGGTGGTATGTGTCAGTATAAGTACACCAGCGTCGTGCAGCATCATGCAGCAAATGAGTGTGATGGGAAAATCAACCATGTTTTGACAATTTTGATACCATCATCCCAAGGCTTGCTATCCTGGTGACAATGAAAAATAGCTGGGATTCATGGATGTTTGTCCCCTCAACATATATGTATGATACTGTAAGTTTTTTTGGCTCATCCCAGGGGGATTTTAAGCATAGGATCATCGAGATCGTCCCTGAAACGGACCTCGACCAAACAGCTGCGCAGCTGAACAAGTTTCCTGCCGCTGATCTCAAGGTTTGTTGAGTCAGATCCCCAGTCGTCACCATGGGTTTCAATACTAGAATGGTCTAGACGGTCTAATGACTTAGATTATTTTGGGTACCCGTATTTTTAGGAAACCTCCAAATGGCCATGGTCATCCAGTAGATGGACAAACAAATCAAACCCTACAGACATCTACCAAGTAAAACCCCACACCCCAAATTTCAATGTTGAACAAAACTCTATCTAACTTCCTTTGTGGTCAGGGTTTTATTTTTTTGTCCACCGGACAGCGCGAAATTTGGGGCTGCGGGGGTTGACAACAATACAGCCCCGCTGAACTGGGTGATGGACTTCAGTTTTGATCATGGCACATATGGCTACGAATCAATACCTATGAATACATTTTTTTGAGGGGGATTAACATTCATAAGTCCCAGCTATTTTTGATGTGAGAACCCAGGGTAGTATAGGGTTTTGACTCATACTTAAATAGCAACCCCAAATAGATAGAACAGTTGGACACCTGGACATATTATGGGTTACATCCAAGTATCATCGAATTTACTTCCTGGAAGGACTTTACGGCATGTTTTTCGGTGACCTCTGTGATATACTGTAAACATACTGGCATTATATATATATATATATATTTATATATAGGAATCCAAGTTAACATCCCGAGCTAGGAATACAATGGAATACTAAACAAATATATAAATCCAAGAAGAATACCATCTGAATAGATATATATATATATATATCATTATAAATCCAAGTTAACATCTCATCAATGGATGGATTTTTTTAGTGTTTCGACCATGGGATGAATGCTATGTCAAAACGTCTGGTACACGGAGCTGCGGCTGCAACAAAAACATGGCTTTTATCATCCTATGAACCAATGGACCATTAATAAACTAATGTTATTTAAAAAAATATGCTATATTAGCCAACCATGGTGTCTCTGAAAAGTTTCTAAAGATAGGCTACCCACACAAAAAAAAAAACATTGGTGAATCATCAGCGTTCCTATGGGTATTCTACTAGTAAATTGGCGCTTGGGGGATATCCCAATATGACAATAATGACGACATGACCGACACTGATCGACCATGACTATCAAACCATAGTCCGACACTGATCCCATGTTCTATTCGAGTCTCAAAATTTGGTACCCCAGATTAGCATCCATGAAAGCATATGAAAACTATCAACATCAACACTTGCCATTCAGAATTGCAGTTATAAATCAATATAAATCCACCAGTTTTGGAGAAATCCACGGCCGCCCACGGCCCAAAAATCTACATAATCCACTAGTCCTATCTTCCTTGTCTTCGGTCGATTCAGCTCCTCGCCCGGAGGTTTCACCAAGGTGGGGAAACCCCGAGAAATATGGACGCTTCATATACACTGCACAAAAAGGGGTGTATATTCATGCACATGTCGAGTTGGCTTCACAAACATTTTACAAGGCTAAAAACGAAGATGACAAAAACGAGTGGCTTTTGGACACTTAAATATTGATTCAGTGGGAAAAAGGTAGACAAACGGCTTCAGAGGACATAGGCACAGCAAAGCCTAGAAATTGAAATGGCTACAAGGCCCTACAATGAGTCACTGCACCCATGTGCACCCTGCCTTGGGAAAGAATCAGCGCTTTGAACCAATTACATCCAATTATATTACTGGTTGGTGGTTTCAACCTACCCCTCTGAAAAATGATGGAGTTCGTCAGTTGGGATGATGAAATTCCCAACTGAATGGACAAATCAAATGCAAATGTTCCAAACCACCAACCATATATATATAATATAATATATATATACCAGATACACATACTAGCAGTATGTATATATATATATGTATACATAGATTACCATTGGGAGTAGCGCCTCAATCAACCAAGCCAAGGTCTAGTCGTCTCGGATGCAATGGATTCACCTCATCGAATCAGAGTACGGAGCTGTCTCAAAAATATACCCCGAAGGGTTGTCAAAATAAACAATACAGTAGCTGCTATTCACTAGAATTCTATATAAACCATTGAAAATAATGTGAGTTCCATTTGAGAATAAGTCTGGGCAAATGAACTTAAATGTTCATCATAATTCACTCACCTGCACTAACCTGAATAGTTGGGCCATTTTGGGATGATTCCTCTAATCATTTGCCCAGCTTTCAGCGCAAAAACAAATCTGCCCGTCCTTCTGCTGTCCTCAGGCCATGATGGCGGTAGTGTTACCTATCTGTATCCCTCAATAAATTTGTATTTACCACCAGATACCAATTATGTGATCATATTTTATCATATCTGTATATGTATCTACCTACCCACCCACCTATTTATATATCCTACTAATTTGATTTGTCTATCTAATCTACAGTAATTCAATCTGATCTTTCATATACATAATCTAATCAAACATCTAATCGAAACCAATTGATCCAATCCAATTTGGTCCAATCTAGTCATCATATGGGAACCACACACCACACTGCCGTGCTGCCGTTGATCTGACAATGGGGAGATTACTTAACTTATAATCAACATTGATCAACATACATAAATGATATAACAATCATGGGATGGGATCTTGATGAATTCTCTATATATGGACCTATCCTGAAATGCTTGGGAAATTCCTGGTATTGTTGCTCTGAACTTTCTTCGCATTTCACAGGAAGATGGATACCCTTAGCTCCGAACCACTGTTCAAAGCTAACTTTGGAAGTCCAATGGGTCTGGATTACTTCACCCTGCCAGTCCACATCCAAAGAATGTGGGCGACCATCAAAGAGTCGGCACATTGATCGGGTCCGGCCAAGCTGGGCGTACCGACTGGAGGCTTGGCAGGTTTGGTACCAAAAAAGCACGAGTTTTGCATGGAGATCCATGCAACATCCCAGCCATCCGCATCGCAACTTCCAATCGCTGCTCTGAGGGTCCACAAGGTCTCCCTTTTGTCGCCACCCGGTTGCAGCATAAAACCCAGCTGAAGCAACCAAAGAGCCATTGTTTCCGGATCAAGATCCCACTCTCAACAATAAAACCCCCAAGAATAGATGAATTTGACACAGGACTGGCAAACGGCCAATTTATAAAGGTTTATTATTCATTGTTCATGATACTCCGAAAGATTCAAGATTTCTTGAGATACAGATAACTAATGGTATATATATATAAACTATATATATATTATAGTAAAAAAATGTAAACAATAACTCACGATAAACTCTATAGTATAGTTTTTTCTATTTATATAAAAATTGCGGTTTTGCCCCAAAGATTTACCAAATCCAGCCAGGAGGCGGCGCTTCTACCCGCTGCAGCTTCGCCTCGGCAGCAAAGGAGGTTTCCATAGCCATGACCCTAGCTGGATGGGTTGGTTCATGGAAAATCCATCTATACCCTCTGGTTATTTAACATAGCCATGGTATAGATGGCCCATTTATAGATGGTTTACCTGGGTTTACCTATTATAAATGGTGATTTTCCATGGCTATGTTAAATAACCAAATGGTAAATGGATGATAACCAGGGGTACCCCTATTCTAGGAAACCTCCATAATTACATTCTATAATTACCCTGCACTTCCAAACACCTTCTGAGAGTGTATTTGGAGTTGTTTTTTGGGGTCTGTTTACACCTTCTCAGAGGGTATTTGGAGCACTAGGGATAATGTTGGATGATATGATCAATGAATTGGACCAGTACTATAAATTACCAGTACTATACACCAATGGAACCTCCATTTATCATTTAATGATATGTTATGTCTATCATTGTGCCAGTACTTCGGAATTTCATTTCTTAGTAGCTCCTTGGCTTCCCATTTCCTGACGGGAACATGGATATCTATAGCTCCACTCAGAGAAAAACCCTCCTAGCCACCAGATGGTTCAAACGTTGGTCTCAACGTCAACATAGTCCACATTTCATCATTTTTCTACATGTCAAATCTAATTCACTGAAGGATTTCGGAAACCCAAATTGGAGGGTTCAACCTTCAAGCACCTGAACAAAACACATGAAGCAACCACCGGGTTCATTGTTCAATGGACACAACATGTGGGTTTCACCTATCACAAACATTAAAAAATAATGGGTGTGTTACTTATGATGGAGATACAAGCTGCATGTCCAGAATTGGATACAACATGATACAGCCAGTAAAAGGAAATGACCAAAAGAAGAGCACAACAGCCAGGAAGTGGGAGATAATACCGATACTCGTGGGGGATTTTTGGTTGATCCAAGAATATGAAAGTTGAGAATTGCTTCTCTACAAATATATACTGTGGGATTCACCCAATTCCCCTCCCATCCCCAAGTCATCACCGGTTAAATTATTGGCTTTCCCACGTTGCAACAGCGACATCATCCATTTAAGTGAAACGGCCGGCAAACATCGGCAAACATCAGAAACAATGGACCAAAATAAGTGGTTTTCAAGTGGTGTTTGATATTGGGGGAATGGGATTAGTTGGGTTCAATGCCAGTCTTGAAAACGAGTAGGAAGCTAAGAAACATCTCTCTTTCCTCATGGATACATGATATATGTGGTTTACAAATCCCTCTCAATGTCAACCTGCCATACAGGCTACCTCCCTAACACTTTTCCGATAGGAGCAGTCAAAACATATAAGAGTTTGTCTCATATCCCCAAATCCTATAGTCCAGAATCATTTTCCGTCAAACATGCCCATTTATTGGGGGTGCCCCATTTTGACACCGACACACACACACGCACTTATCAATTATTATCATTATATTATATATATATGTGTATATATATATATCCGTTGTGAAAATCGCTGTTCTTGGGCCTTAAATCCTCATGTTTCACATTCTATGCTAAAATTCCCCAGATTTTTACGTGGTTTGCGTTTCCACAGCATTCCAGGCCACCAAATTTCCACGGAACTGGGACCCCCGGGCCGACATACTCAAGAAGGCAGCATCCACACTACCAAATTTCCTGCGTGGGAACCCCATCCCCTGGTTTCATGCCCTACACCCACCATGCTTTCCTGGGGGTGTTGAATAATAGGGGGAAGGGATTCTGAATTCACCATGTCTATAATGGACTGGAATATCTGGATTGCAAAAAAAACACTTGCTACAGATGGTACATGCATACAATACAACTGTATGATACAGTAATTGGAGCAACTGATACATGAATTCTTTGACTCCTAACTTCAGGCTCTGTCCCAATGAGGGCAGCGAAACTGTGGGCAAACTTTTCTTTTTTAAGTTTCAAGTTCAGCTTCTTAAGAAAACATCCCTAAACTGGGAAACACACCATGTTGATGATTTCCTGGTCGCGGCCATACTTGCCGATTGTATCATAGTGCTAGGGCCCATGCTATGTGGGTTATGGTCATCCCTTTCATGGCGAAATCCGAAAATGGATGGACAACCATCCCATACCATCCAACGAACTTCACCGTTGAACATATTAGAATCAGCCTAAGCATAGTTATATATGTTATAGTCAACATCAGTAATCCTAGTTATATAGATTTATATAGTAAATAGCTATGAATTGGTTAGTATCCATACTTGGAGGATCCTCCCTTCGTTACAGCCAGTCATCAGTTAGCTCCCTCCCATCGTCCCATGCCGGTCCCATCCAAGCTGCTGCAGATGCGCTGGACCAACAGGTCTGCCTCGCACTCCGACTTCCGAGGGCCAACCGGCCTTGATGGCGGGCATGCTGGGGGATGCCGGGGCTGGGGGTAGCCCAATGGATGGATGGATGGTTGATTTAGATGGGAAAATCCATGGAAAATCCCCATCTAAAATGGATGAGAACCGGGAAAATCCCCTATTTCACATCATTTTTATGGACATACTCTAGAAAAACATGCGCCATAAATTCATGTCTCTTTGTAACATGTGGTAAAATATTGCCAAAAATACCTGTGAAATCCTGTGACTTGAAGCAAACATCGAGGCTACAACAGGTGACCCAACATGTTTCAAACCTGAAAACTTCAAGGTGGTGCCTCCCACGTTATAAGTTAGTTTATAACCCCATTGACTCTTGCTGTACTTGCCATAAATCCTATATACTTATGCAAGCTATCAACCAACTTAGCCAACTAGCACCACCTTGTTCGTTTCGGGATTCAAACCCAGCTTGATCACGGAAATTCTCCGGACTCTTGGAAGGTCATCTGACAATCACCATGAATACCACATATCCCAATTTGAAGATTTCTTCCGACCCCCTATTTGCCAGGGCCTGTGTTCATTGGAGGTAGGCTATATATGTGCATGCATTTGTATCACTATGTGAAATAATATATATATATACAAATCATATGTTCTTTTTTAAATATATTTCATTATATATATATGTATATCATATTAATATATACAGTATATATATATATATACAACTATATACAGTATGTAACTCTAGATATATAATGTGGATTAATATAGATTAATATGGTATGTTCTGCATCATCATATCACCAATATCCTCCGTGCCACTGGGAGTGCGCCAAGTCACACCACACTGGGCGCCAGGGAGGACAACTGTGGCAGAACCCTCGAGGAGGTTCGATGGACCATCTCTAAATCCTCCAACTGATCCGTGTCAGGGTCCTGGGCACTGGAGAACACTGGAGCTGACTGGAATCCCTGGTCAGTCAGAAATGTTCTTAGGCTAACATTGAGATATCAATAGAGAGTTAATACCATAAGGTGATGCCCACTTTGGGAATCACTATAAGTTGGCTTATAGCTATAGAATAACTGTAGGATTTATGAGATATTGGTAGGTATAACTGCGGGGCACCACCTCGTACCAAAACCCAGTACCAAAATGTTGGATCAATCCGCTCCCAAATATAGAGATGTATACCATGGTATACCTGTCTGGGTCATACATACCGGGTGCCCAAAATAGACTAATTTTGCTACCGGTGAAGCGGTGAACATCATTGAAAGCCACTGCTTAAATTGGGCCTGCTCCCAATTTTGCTAATCTTTCCAGATCACAGTATAGCTCAAGTTTGCTGCAATTGTCATTGTGGGCGGAGAACAAAAAACATTGGTCAACCAAACCAAGGTCTTCACAGGTTTGTTCAATGCATCGCTATTTCCAAGGGACAATTTAGTGATACACAATTGTGCAACACTCTCTGTGGCCCTTTATACTGGCCGCTTAGTAATTTTTCCTATGGATTAGGATCACCCCCAAATATGCAAGATATGAGGGGTCCTTTTTTCATGGGTCCCCAAATCATCCCAAGATATGAAAATATGACACATTTTAGTATGAGTCCCCATTGTTATCCCTATTATCCCATTACTATCCCTATTAGTATTGAAACCTATGGTGACTTGGGGATCCCCCGCCTCTGCATCTGGCGCCCTGCACAAAGCGGATCACGGCTGGGGAGAGCTGAAATGGGCGAAGCGCCGATGTGTGTATATATTAAATTTATAAATTATATTTGTATATCTAATATATATATATACCTAAACATATATTGTATCTAATATATATATATATATGTACATTGATATGATATTCTGTAATGTATGTATATATATATACACAAACTGTTGGTACGAGTATGTGAGTTATACCTCAAAACACCTTTCATGCCAGATTCGGAAACATTTTTGCAGCATCATCCCACTGCATCAAGATAAGACTCACTTTTTGGGACACTACAGACCAACAATACAAACAAAATATCTATGTCGTTTCTTGAACTTGAGAATTAGGGTACATATATATATTACATATGCAGAAAGCAACAATTCACTGAAACAACTTAATACAAATTCTCTGGTTGAATGGATTTTTCATTGGGTTTCGTGACAGCGTAGAGGATGAAACCACATTATGAGTCACAATGTGGTAAACCCAAAAACAATCAATAACATACCATTCCATTAACCAATCCATTTCGGGGTCACTGTACACGACCGCAAATGGAGGTGCAGCCAATAGTAAACCTGTAGCTGGGATTGTTTGTTCGTTTGTTCTTGGGTTTACATGGTTTTACCACATTTCTTGGAACATTGGACCGGGGTGTCTTTGATAAAGAAACCGGGGATGATATTAAAAATCATTGAAACCACGTTTGGGTTGGTTTGCCTGTCCCATTTTGGGAATATAAAGGACATCACCTAACCATAGTAGCCATCTAGTAGACCATATACCATTCATGCTTGGGTGATGTGACCCATGGGGACATCAGTCATGACCCATGAGCTTTGGCTTGGATTCGGCGGTTTGGAAACATTCAGAGAGAGTCCGCTTTGGAATATGATCTATTAGCCTCTGGTAAATTAACTTGTTGATCCTGAAAATAGCCGAGTTTTCATGGTTAAACTCATCTTCCAACCCCTATATATATCTGCCAGGGTCTATATATGTTAATTTACCAGAGGGTATCATGTTGTGAATGTTGTGGTTGTTGAAGGGTAAACCCCTGTAAATCAACCGCTAGGAAAAGGACATCGTTTGGTGCAGCTTAGCCAGCCCCAACAAAGGCCTTGACAGCGCGTCCTGCTCATTGGGACGGAAGATCTGCCGCGGACCGGACGCATTTTTCCACGGGTGTATGGAACATCCATTGGTTTTCTGCAGGGGGACTTCCCTACTTTGCAACTTTCAAGCAAATCATGTGGCCATTCTCCCACCTTTCTTCGGCTAGGAACTCCTATTATAATGGGCTTCCCTGACCTTCCCTACAGATCCTTCTTAGATGCTTTGCTTAGATGTACCTGAATGATACTATAGTGACGGACAATCACTTAGAACGTATTTTGGAAAAATTTTTCTGAATATTACTGCTTTTTTTACGTTCTAAGCCTTGCACTTAGAACGTCGAAAACCATACACTTAGAACGTCCAAATATCAAGATTCATCACTTAGAACGTACCGGGGATTTAACACTTAGAACGTGTCTAGGTCACTGATGATAGTGGAAAGGCTTGTGAAATCTTTTATCTCTAAGTGTTGGATCCAGCAGCTAATTCCGTAGGAAGCATAGACATAATTTCGTACCATTTGGCTTTTCCCTCCCATATGATGTGCAAATATTGGCGATCTTTTATCTCTGGAACACTATACCTTTTGGTGCTTTTTGGGGGTTCTGAGTTCTGATGTTCTAAGTGTTGGATTCAGCAGCTAATGCCGTAGGAAACATAGACATAATTTCGTACCATTTGGCTTTTCCCTCCTATATGATTTGCAAACATTGGCGATCTTTTATCTCTGGAACACTATACCTTTTGGATCCTTTTGTTGCTTTTTGGGGGTTCTGTCGTTCTAAGTGTTGGATTCAGGAACTAATTCTGTAGGAAACATAGACATAATTTCGTACCATTTGGCTTTTCCCTCCCATATGATTTGCAAATATTGGCGATCTTTTATCTCTGGAACACTATACCTTTTGGATCCTTTTGGTGCTTTTTGGGGGTTCTGACGTTCTAAGTGTTGGATTCAGCAGCTAATTCCGTAGGAAACATAGACATAATTTCGTACCATTTGGCTTTTCCCTCCCATATGATTTGCAAATATTGGCGATCTTTATCTCTGGAACACTATACCTTTTGGTGCTTTTTGGTGGTTCTGACGTTCTAAGTGTTGGATTCAGCAGCTAATTCCGTAGGAAACATAGACATAATTTCGTACCATTTGGCTTTTCCCTCCCATATGATTTGCAAATATTGAATTGGCGATCTTTACCTCTTGAACACTATACCTTTTGGTGCTTTTTGGTGGTTCTGACGTTCTAAGTGTTGGATTCAGCAGCTAATTCCGTAGGAAACATAGACATAATTTCGTACCATTTGGCTTTTCCCTCCTATATGATTTGCAAACATTGGCGATCTTTTATCTCTGAAACACTATACCTTTTGGTGCTTTTGGGGTTCTGACGTTCTAAGTGTTGGATTCAGCAGCTAATTCCGTAGGAAACATAGACATAATTTCGTACCATTTAGCTTTTCCCTCCTATATGATTTGACATTGGCGATCTTTTATCTCTGGAACACTATACCTTTTGGATCCTTTTGGTGCTTTTTGGGGGTTCTGACGTTCTAAGTGTTGGATTCAGCAGCTAATTCCGTAGGAAACATAGACATAATTTCGTACCATTTGGCTTTTCCCTCCCATATGATTTGCAAATATTGAATTGGCGATCTTTTATCTCTGGAACACTATACCTTTTGGATCCTTTTGGTGCTTTTTGGGGGTTCTGACGTTCTAAGTGTTGGATTCAGCAGCTAATTCCGTAGGAAACATAGACATAATTTCGTACCATTTGGCTTTTCCCTCCCATATGTTTTGCAAATATTGGCGTTCTTTATCTCTTGAACACTATGCATTTTGGTGCTTTTTGGGGGTTCTGACGTTCTAAGTGTTGGATTCAGCAGCTAATTCCGTAGGAAACATAGACATAATTTCGTACCATTTGGCTTTTCCCTCCCATATGATTTGCAAATATTGGCGATCTTTTATCTCTGGAACACTCTACCTTTTGGATCCTTTTGGTGCTTTTTGGGGGTTCTGACGTTCTAAGTGTTGGATTCAGCAGCTAATTCCGTAGGAAACATAGACATAATTTCGTACCATTTGGCTTTTCCCTCCCATATGATTTGCAAATATTGAATTGGCGATCTTTACCTCTTGAACACTATACCTTTTGGTGCTTTTTGGTGGTTCTGACGTTCTAAGTGTTGGATTCAGCAGCTAATTCCGTAGGAAACATAGACATAATTTCGTACCATTTGGCTTTTCCCTCCTATATGATTTGCAAACATTGGCGATCTTTTATCTCTGAAACACTATACCTTTTGGTGCTTTTTGGGGGTTCTGACGTTCTAAGTGTTGGATTCAGCAGCTAATTCCGTAGGAAACATAGACATAATTTCGTACCATTTGGCTTTTCCCTCCCATATGATTTGCAAATATTGGCGATCTTTTATCTCTGGAACACTATACCTTTTGGTGCTTTTTTGGGGGTCTGACATTCTAAGCCGTAAGAAACATAGACATAATTTCGTACCATTTGGCTTTTCCCTCCCATATGATGTGCAAATATTGGCGATCTTTTATCTCTGGAACACTATACCTTTTGGTGCTTTTTGGGGGTTCTGACGTTCTAAGTGTTGGATTCAGCAGCTAATTCCGTAGGAAACATAGACATAATTTCGTACCATTTGGCTTTTCCCTCCCATATGATTTGCAAATCTTGGCGATCTTTTATCTCTGGAACACTATACCTTTTGGTGCTTTTTGGGGGTTCTGACGTTCTAAGTGTTGGATTCAGCAGCTAATTCCGTAGGAAACATAGACATAATTTCGTACCATTTGGCTTTTCCCTCCCATATGATTTGCAATATTGGCGATCTTTTATCTCTGGAACACTATACCTTTTGGTGCTTTTTGGGGGTTCTGACGTTCTAAGTGTTGGATTCAGCAGCTAATTCCGTAGGAAACATAGACATAATTTCGTACCATTTGGCTTTTCCCTCCCTATATGATTTGCAAATATTGGCGATCTTTTATCTCTGGAACACTATACCTTTTGGTGCTTTTTGGGGTTCTGACGTTCTAAGTGTTGGATTCAGCAGCTAATTCCGTAGGAAACATAGACATAATTTCGTACCATTTGGCTTTTCCCTCCATATGATTTGCAAACATTGGCGATCTTTTATCTCTGGAACACTATACCTTTTGGTTTTGGTGCTTTTGGGGGTTCTGACGTTCTAAGTGTTGGATTCAGCAGCTAATTCCGTAGGAAACATAGACATAATTTCGTACCATTTGGCTTTTCCCTCCCATATGATTTGACATTGGCGATCTTTTATCTCTGGAACACTCTACCTTTTGGATCCTTTTGGTGCTTTTTGGGGGTTCTGACGTTCTAAGTGTTGGATTCAGCAGCTAATTCCGAGGAAACATAGACATAATTTCGTACCATTTGGCTTTTCCCTCCCATATGATTTGCAAATATTGGTGATCTTTTATCTCTGGAACACTATACCTTTTGGTGCTTTTTAGGGGTTCTGACGTTCTAAGTGTTGGATTCAGCAGCTAATTCCGTATAGGAAACCTAGACATAATTTCGATTCCACTTCGAATTCCAATTTTCTGCAATATTTTAATTGCGTTATAAAAGGAAATTCAATTGATTTCGAAAGCGAAAAAACTAGTCTTTTTATTAAGGGTTTAAATTTATTATTAGGATCCGCTTCGAAATCCAATTTTTGGCAATATTTTAATTGTGTTATAAGGAAATTTACCTGATTTTGAAATCGAAAAAAACGGTTTTTCTTATTAAGGGTTTAAATTTATTATTTAGGTCCGCATCGAAATCCAATTTGTGGCAATATTTCAATTGCGCTATATAAGGAAATTTAATTGGTTTTGAATCGAAAAAAATAGTTTTGTTTTATTAAGGGTTTAAATTTATTAGGGTCCGCTTCGAACTCTAGTGTTTGGCAATAGTCTTATTGCGTTATAAAAGGAAATTTAATTGATTTTGAATCGAAAAAACTAGTCTTTTTATTAAGGGTTTAAATTTATTATTAGGATTCGCTTCGAAATCCAATTTTTGGCAATATTTTAATTGCGTTATATAAGGAAATTTAATTGATTTTGAAGTCGAAAAAAATAGCCGCTTTATTAAGGGTCTAAATTTATTATTAGGGTCCGCTTCGAAATCCAATTTTTGGCAATATGTTTAATTGCGCTATATAAGGAAATTTAATTGATTTTGAAATCGAAAAAATAGTTTATATAGCGACGGACAATCACTTAGCACGTTCTAAGTGTTGGTTTACGTTCTAAGTGATAAATGGGCCTAAGTGATATTTTGACGTTCTAAGTGATGAATTTTCCCTACGTTCTAAGTGATGAAATTTTGCTACGTTCTAAGTACGAAAAAAAAAATGGAAAAAAAATTACGTTCTAAGTGATTGTCCGTCACTATAAACTGGATCACTTTATGGGTATCTGAGAGTAAACCATTACATATCAGTGATCCCATAGACAGAGATGCATTTCTAAAGCCTACATGGCAGGGACTTTTTTTTGAACCGCAAAAAGAAAAGACTTTGAGGGATAACTACCTGGGTTTGTTGAAAGTTTTATTTTCCCACTGGAACATCCACCATTCGGGGAATCCCGTTTACAGGGAGATCTGTAGGGACGGCACCTCTCGGGACTGGGACTTGTAGAAGGACTGGCCAGGTTGGCGATGTGGGAAGTTGACCACAAGGGACAAAATGGTGTTAGATTCTGAAAATTGGGGAAAACAAAGAATCATATATATATACTGTATGTATATATTATATATACACATAAGATCAACCAGCAAATCATGCCCATTTGCTGCTTCCCTTACGCCCAAAAATGGATAACCATGGATAACCAACCAATGCAACCAATCAACCGCAGGTAGATGACATACTAACACACTGAAAATGGTCCGTTTATGCCCATTGTGCATTGCTGCGTGAGATGGGTAGAGGTTTCCGGCCAATATTTGCACTGCAAGCCCTCCTCTCTCCTTTTCTTCAAACAAGTTTCCTTCTCAAACGGGAAGCAAAATGAAAGACTGGTAGCAGCAAAAACGGAAGGGTGCAACACACTCAGCAGTGAGGAAATCCAACCCGTGGACAACCCCATTCTTGCTCATAGCTGCTGTATATCCCAGTCCCAGTAATGTTATATGTTACAATGTGGTTCCATCCCCATCTTTACAGGTGGTGTGGAACAGTTAAACATTGGTCTATCAACCCCATTCTAGAGCTGTACTGATAACTATAAAATATTATGGTTATTGATATGTACCTATTATTTATGGTTATTTACTGTTCTATCAACCTATTAAATATATCTATACCAATAACTATTTAGCCTACTTATCGAACCATAGGGCTCCATATGGCTCCAGCTTGTAGTATCCAGTACAATACTCCCAAAGATCCCTACATATTTCAGTGGTAACTTGACCGGGATTCCACCAAGGTTTAGACATGCTACAGCCATGTAGCCATAACAATCCGAGATTTGTTTTCACCAACACAGGATCAAATAGGAATTGCACTACTGCACAAACAAACCAACAAAACCAACCAAACAAAAACAAGATTCAACAAAACTTGTCTGCTTGGTGGTTCCAACATGTTTCAGCCATTCTGCAAGAAAAAACGCCAAAAAAACAACGCAAAAATCCAGTTCCACGGTGGATGTCTCACCCATCAGGTTGGATAAACCATAATCCAAGATGGCCCCCCCCAGCTAAAGTTGGTTTATAAACCACATCAACTATATATGAATTATGTATAGTTACTGTATATATATATATATATAAATTGTATAGTTGTATATAGTTATATAAAATTATAAATATATATATATATAAGATATATATATATATATATCACGTCAAATCCCTCATAAACCCAACAGTAAACCAAGTCATTTTCTCCCAATTTTGGCAGAGTTTTGCTGCTTGAATCACTACCGAACTGGGCGCGCACCTTGCTGGAACTGAGCTGCGACACGGACAGAACATCTGCCACGTTCCTGTGGCGAGGCGGCTCGCCATTGGCACAATGGTGTGGGTGCGTAATAATGGATAAATAATTGATATAAAAAAGGGTAGTATAGAGTATAGATAGTGGATATATATATATATATATAATGTATATATATATATGTAATTGTATGTATGTATCCGGGTCAGAACCAGCAGGCGAGTGTCTTGTTGTAGCCTGGCCATCCAACATTGCTTGTCAAATGGATTCATTAGCACTGTCTTGAAACAAACAAACAAAATCATACTAATCATACCTCAAATATACTTATATCATATTAACTAGCCGGGGATTATATAGAATTAACCGAAACCAAGGTTTAATACGTTAAACCATCGTCATCACAATGTTCGTAGCTGGTGATAAAAAAAAATGGCTTCAGTTTCAACCCTGTGTCAGTTCCATGGATCCATCTGGTTTTGACTGACATAGCCATGGTATAGATGGCCCATTTATAGATGGTTTACCTGGGCTTACCGAACTTAAACATGGTGATTTTCCATGGCTATGTTAAATAACCAGAGGGTAATTAATCTATGTACCGTGTTTGCTAAAGGGTGGTGAGAAATATCATCATATTACACAACTCAGATGTCTGCATTGTGCAATGAACTGAGCAGTCCCAGCAACCTTCGAGTTCCCACAGTCACAAGTGGATATAGGAGAACATCATATAATATAACATGAACCGCATTCAAATGGTACCCGCCAAATGGCTATGAGTCAAAACCCTGGGAGCCAGATGGTACCCAAAGTCATAGCAGCTAAATATGGATGTTGATTCCTCAAATTTTCGTTCATCCAGAACAACTTTAAAAAAAGCTTTTGATTCATCCCCCAATTTTGCAACAATACTAATATGATCTAATATGGATGTTTCCTAAGTCATGGGATACCCCCAGTTATCATCATACATCATCCATGTTAGTTTCGGATTTTCCCTTAACCATCCAGCTCTTGGGTACCCCATTTATGGACCCCCCCCCTGGGCCCTTGGGGCACCCGGGATCTGGCTCCATGGATCCTTGGAGGCCGAGGCCGAGGTGCAGTTGGTGGAGCCCGGCATCCAGCAGGCAACCCTTTTAAAACATCCACATGACATAAAAACATCCACGTTTTAAAACATCCATGTGGGTAACTTGATGTAAATTGATGTATTTTTTAATCTATGTTTTATGAATGTGATACGAATTCGTGACAGCCATAAAAAGCCATTTAAGGGAATGATTCCCCGAATCTTCACCATGATTCCAGTGAGGCCTCAGTGAGATCAGTAAAATTTGCCCAGGTCCTTTGACATCTATTCACGTTTGGATACATCTACCATGAAAATCCTTAAATCTAAGTTGCAACCTACTTCTAAACCCATTTTGCAGACTACTGAGCACCACCTCGTGGTCGATCAAAACTGGGAGCACCAACAAAATCATCCGAAGGTCAAAAATCAAATGATAACATGCGAACCATTGAGCTAAAGTCATTCATGCGGACTGTGAAGGTCAGACCCGCCAGAATTGACGTATGGCCGCCATTGGCGAACTTCCTCAGTTTTGGTCCACCATGCAATCGATTTATATATGGTTGATTGCCAGGTATCATTGAATGCATTAAAAAGTTTCTTTTGGGGGGGCGCATCAAAAATCTATCCACTTCTGAAATGGGATCTAGCAGTTTCTGGTCTATGTGGAAGTGAGTTGTCTTGCCCATTTTTCATCCGTTTTACTTTCCCTCTAAAACCTTGACTGACCAGTTTATTTTCCCATCCGTGGCAACTGAATATTGTAATGCGCCAATTTAACCTTCATCAAGGTTAATCGTTAATCCGAATTTGTCCACTGAACTTAAACGGTTTTCAAGTTAATTTTTAATGCTGAATCTTCGTGCACTTCACTTCATCCTTAAAATCCACTAATTGGTTTATCATTTTTCAAGTCATGGATTGAACCAAAATAACCCGCCGTCTCCCAACTGGGCCATCCAAACGGGCAGTGCTCCCCGGAGATGCTAAGCCATTGAAGGTCTTGCCCTAGTGCAAGGGGAGGATGCGAAGCCGAATTCTGGTTTGTGGATCGAATTTTATTCCCTTTATTCGTATCTCAACGAATCATCCGTTTTGTATGGTTGAGAAAAAAGTGTTCGGTTGGATCTGAGTACATACTCTTTCTGTTTTGCGTTTTCTTCTGTAAATTCCTTCGTAAAATGGTTCTTTCCAAATGTCCATGTGCATTCCGGGTCTTGGACCCCGGTTTTTTTCCCTATACATTCTCGCATAAATTGCTCTTGGTGAGATGTCGATGTCCATTCGACTGTGCAAGCTTGCGCAAAGCGGGCGTCCCAATCTTGGGGCGCGGCATTTTTCCTGTAAATTCTCGCGTCAACATGCTCTTGTGATATGTTGATGTGGCTTTCGACTGCGCAGGCTCGCACAAAGTCTGCGGCGCGGGTTTCTCCGGATCTTGGGCCCCGGCATTTTTCTTGTCACTTGTCGCAAAAACTTGCTCTTGCGACGCGCTCTCCGTCCAATCATGTGGCTTTGCTCTGCTATGGATCTTGTAGCAGCATTCTAGCCGCAAGCTTCCTTGTGACTTTGTGGCGGATAAAACAACCGCTGCTTTGCTGCGGAGCCACATGGCTGTCGCTTTTCTATTTTTCCATCCATCATCTACCCTACATACATTGTACTTAGTCTCCTTTCCCCACACTGTTTGGGGTCTCTTGCCGGTGTAATTTGAGGCAATATCGTAGGCTACACCGGCTAGCGGCTATACCCACAAATACCCCACATTCTCATCCATTTTCCGATCCCAAATCAGCATCCAAGCCGATTTTTCCCCCACCTCCAAGCCCGGAGCCTGCGGTGCCGAGGCATTTGGAGCTGATTTGATGGGTTGGAGGTACCTATCATATATCAGGCCTCTGCAAGGACTAGGTAAGGGGATATGTCGTACAGTACCTCTATTTTAGGGTAATGTAATTCCCACTATGGTCTAAAATAACTACAGTAATGGCATGGGTTACAGTTTGGACTTATGACATAAGTGGGGATATAAGTCATATAGCTATGGCTATATATTATATTATATTATATTATATTATATTATATGTTATTATATTATATTAAATTATACTATATTATATTGTATTATATTACATTACATTACATTACATTGTATTACATTATATTACATTGTATTACATTATATTATATTATATTATATTTTATATTATATTTTATTTTACTACATACTATATTTTATTATATAATAATATATTTTGTTATTTTATTATATTATATTATGTCATAATATATTTTATTATATTATATTATATTATGTCATAATATATTATATTAGATTATATTATATTATATCTTATTATATTATATTATATTATATTAAATTATACTATATTATATTGTATTATATTATATTATATTATATATATGTGTGTGTGTCCAATTGCAACTGGAACTGCAGCCCCAAGTAGTAACCACTTGTAACCAACTATTAGTCGTTTGAAAAAGTAACATGCAATAACCAACTACTCGTGGTATGGTGACCAAGTATTAGTGATGAATAATCAACTATGGGATTATTCTGGATTTTGGTGGTCAGATTCCGGAACAATTTCATTTAGGAAGGGAAGATGAAAGGTACAACATGGTACAACTATGTCTTCTAGGATCTTACTAGTATCTTCAATCTTATTGACCACTAAACTTCAGAATTAGATTGAAGCTGTTCTGCATCCTTTTCTGGCTTGCTACAAGATGCTACAAGGGAAATCTACAGGAAAAGAAGTCTTTCTTTTCCATGTTTCTTGGGGAGTTTCCTGAAAGATTTCCACACATAAACTCAAACATTGTTGGAAAAGCCACAAGTTTCGCAGGAACATATTCCATTGCAAATTTCCTCTGGCCTTTTCCATTGATTACCAGAGAGCTGCCCTTTTGGATCTCAAAGTCTCCGGGGATTTTGTGGATGTAAAATATGTGGGTCAATTCCACTTTAAATAGACAAACATATGCAAAAAGATGCCGCGGCCTCGCTGTACATTCTGTTAAAACCTGATGAACCCTACATCCAACTGATGCTTGGCCGCCCGGCTTGGTGTTAGAAGAAGGTTTACTGGTACTCCGAAACCATCATATTCATAATATGAACATCCCAAATCCCCGGAGCTGAGAAGATTCACCAGCAAGGTATCAACCAGCAATCAATCATTGACATATACGAGGATATCAATCATCAAATCAAGGATGCATGAAGGATACATGAAGGGACCGAAAACGATAGATTTCTATATTTCTGTTGATCTACATAAGTATAATCGCGGTGGATATATTTCTAACAACAATAAGTTCGTATAACGCGATTTACAACTGAGGGAGGGTTTCCAGCAGTGAATCCTCCAATGCGAAGGTCGTCTTTAGTAAAAGGCTTCTGCGCACATCCCATTCTGCCAATATTAAGCACACCCAAATTATGCTCCAAATCTGTGATTTCATCCCCGACTGGGGCTGGTTTCGCTGATATTTGGGGGATTCATTCACCACTGTGGCATGTTGGGTGCCCACGTGGGCAGTCAAGAAACAAAGCACGGAATGTGAAGTGTAGCATGGCATTGCTATGGTGATGCCATGAGCAAATCTTCCAATCCCACAAATCCAAATAAAACCAAATAAATATGGGTGAATTATCCACAACGGGACCCACAACCCCAACTAGGCCCGTAAGCGAACCGTTCCCAACAACCAATGGGCTCATCCAAGGCAAATCTTTCCAGCTACCGTCTATATGAAGTCTGAAAATTGGCTTTCCAAACGAATTTGATGATTTCTCAATGTTTATCATTCAATTTTCCCACTGAAGTTGCCATTTTGGGCTCAGACAATGCTTCGGCACAGCCTGCTGATTGGAGATTTCGCAAGAACAATCGAGACATGCAAGGTGGTGCCCCAGAGAGTTATATAATTAAGTTGCTTTATAAGTAGATTAACACTTGGATTCATAGCAATAATAAGTATTGTTGGTGAATGGGTTTATAAACCACAATATTGCCAACATAAAAACAAAAAACTAGAAATAACTAGAAATCCCCCCATGTGTCTTGGATAAATTCTCAGTTTTGTACATCACCATCCACATGCCCATGTCCGTTCAGCCTGCCGCTGGAAACTCGTCGACGCAGTCTTTGAAACTGGTCGAGCCTCAAAAAGTTAGGGAGCTTTTGAGTGCCAGGGGCATTGATGGTTGGATTTGGGTTAAGTTTATACATGTTTATTCATTTATACACCGTAATTAAATAGAGTTTGTTGGTTTAATAGTTCCCATCACTTTTACTTAATATACAAATATTGTTGTTATTCTATATATTATACCCTCTGGTACTTTGACAAAGCTTCGGAAAACACCTGTATGGATAGGTAGTACATCATCGAACAAAACGAGGCATGGTCTCACTAGATTGGCGGAGGGTATACAGTAATTGGGTTGGTTTGATCCCCAGTTTTCCTATCGCCCTGGTTTGAGTTGCTTGGGTCCCCAATTTAGTTGGATTAATTCGGGTTGCCTGAGGCAAGAGTGATAATTTTCGACCAAATAAATACCACCAATACAACAGTCCAGTCCAGGGTGTTTCAAATTCCGGGGTTTACATTATACTCACTGCGGGAGTTATCTTGCTTTGGCAAAGCCACGTATTTGATCCTCCAATTTTAGATGGTAAACTGCACTCCTTGTTTCTGATCAAATCTAGCGGATGGTTGACTACTGGATATCAATGTTAGTAACGTCGTAAAAAACAAATCAGCCACATTTTGACGGTTTACACCACCCATTTATGGTACAATTTGGGGATCGTGGAGTACCACAATGTCGGCCCCCAAGTTATGTTTGTTGGTCTATAACCAAATGGATACTATAGTTGTAAGTGTGATAAACCATTGTGAAATTGGAGTCAAATTCAACTTACCACACATATTGCAAATATTGTTATTTGACCATAGTTCTAGGGGTTATAAGTTATATCTCAACTTATGGGAGTTATCACCCATGGTTATTGCATGTTATGATGATACTCATCAAAAAACCCAACTGCACACCCATTGCTGATGATTTCCATTGCAATCCCACCTGGAAATCCCAAGCAAATGGGGATGACCCTACTCTGAACGGCCCTGGTACTGGTGTTGCTGACGTTTGCTTACGGTGGGGCGCCCGTTTTCGATGCCTGAGTTGGTGAACATTGGCCTTGGCTAATATGGGTTTATGGGGGATGAATACATATATAATATATAAACAGTTATCAGTTATTGTATGTTTCTGTAATGTGGATTATAAACCAACTTAATAAGTGCCCTCGGCCCTCCACCTTGTGTCAATCAATTGCTATTTCGATAGATAGTAAACTCTACCTCTTCATTTGACATAGGATCATAGAAAATTTCATTGATGAAATGATTTGGGGACATATGATGTATGATTTCCCCCTATTTTGGATGGGTTAGTGGCGAAGGGTTTCAGCAATGTGTTTGGACCCGTCAGCTATGGTTCTGGACTGGGTTTCAACATAGATTGATTGAGACTAAGCGGCTTGTGCAGTTTGGCTGTGCACTGGCCTTATTTTGCCACCACTTGATCTCCTGCAAGTGGTGAAAAAAGGGCTTTGGTTTCCTAATCATGGTCTCCATCAGGGTTTCCAAGTGTTTCCTTTAGGGCCACGACATCCCGAACTGAAGGAGTCCTTGGTGAAACATGTCTCAAGGATCAGCCGGCTGTCCTGAGTTTACTGATACAGGGGTCCACCCAAAAAATGGCAAATATCAAATATTATTTAATTATACCATCCTGGAAACTTTTCGGCATCAGGGGTTACTGTACAGGCTCCAGTTTTTCATCAGATGGTACAGTACCAACCTATCGTACACTGGGGTTTTATTCATCCTGGAGATCCTGGAGTGGTGGAGATCCTCTCGAAGGCGGGGATCATCTTGCAGTGAGCAGGTTGCGAAAGGTGTGGACCACTTAATCCGAGATAACTTCATCCCCCGTCTCTATGTGCCGAACATCAATGCACTCCCAACAACTTCCATGTGTTCAGCCGTCCCCTTTGATTATCATAAGAAACATATAGGAAAAATTCGGTATGAGACAAAATTATAAATTCCGGAATGGACGGTCTTGTGTCCCTGAGGACACAAGTAGACAAAGAGGGAAGTATCGGCAAAGTAGGTCCCACAAGGGCACTTTTCAGACGGTGCTCAAAATATACTTATCAGATCTTTATTGAATTTTCTCCGATTTCCTAGATGCTTCGACAACAGTAGTCGAAACAATCAGTCAGAACTTGTCAGGATCTACTTTTGGGTTGCGCGTGACAGACTGTGACAAACCCATGACACCCCGTGCCGAGTACTTTTTTCTTCCTAGCCTATAGAATCAGATATTGCCTGAAAAATGGCCATGGCAGCCCGTGACAGCCCCTTCAAAACCGAATCTTCTGGATGTTGCCCCGAGCCTGGCTCTCTTAAATCTCTCGGAAAAAACGGTTCTGTGATGCGAATTTGATGGATTTATACCACCTTTTAAGCCGTAAGAAGTCTAAAACACGTCAACGTGGTTTAAAACAATCATAAACCATCCCTTTTATGGTAAACTTGGGGATGGTTTACTGAATCTTTCTGATAAGTGAAATTAAAGCACCATCTGTTGTTCCTCATGGTATTAAACATGGACCAACTTGTCGGTCCACTGGTACTATTACCGTATTTTGCATCGGTACGCATCTAGAATATCTAAAGTGAACTTGTAAAATCCATATTTTAATGGGTAACATCATCTTGATGGTCAAATGCAATTTTCAAAGGTGTGTGGGTTTGTGCACATATGGGATATGTATACAGTACCCCAAAAGTTCAATTTAAACAAGGAACAATAATCGACCAATGGTCTATCGTGGCTCATGGAGAAAATGCCAAACTATCATGGCCATGCAAAACCAGCACACTGACACCAAGTTGAACATTTTTTTGTTTTGAATCCGCTGAGTCGCTCAAGAGCGATATTTGATTGCGCAGGATTTGGTGTTTCTTTAGGGTTGGTTTGGGGTTTATTTGGGGTTGGTTTAGGGTTTGTTTAGGGTTGGTTGAAGGTTTGTTTAGGGTTGGCTTCGGGTTGATTTAGTTTTTTTTTTTTGTGGGGTGATAGGTTTGAAGATAGGTTTGAAGTTTATTTAGGGTTTGTTTGAAGTTGGTTTGTTTGAAGTTGGTATGTTTGAAGTTTATTTGCTGTAAGTTTGTGGTTTATTTACGTGTTGTTTAAGAAGCTTAAATAAGGTTGCTTGTGTGTTCATTTAGGGTTGGTCGGAGATTTACTCAAGGTTGGGTGGCTTCAAACATGTTTATCGAAGGTTGGTTTACTGTAGGATGTTGATTCAGGGTTGGTTTGTGGTTTACTCAAATTTGGTTTAGGTTGATTTCGGGTTGTTGGATTAAGTTTAGGGTGTTATTTTAGATTTGGTGTATACTTGTTGAGGGTTTTTTGTTGTTTATTTAGAGTTGGATTGTGGGGTATATTTTGATTTGCTAGAATTAACTTAAATTTGGTGTGTGCTATTTCTCTCGAGTACATTCATCACTTGTTTGGGGTTGGTTTGAGATTTCTGGTCTATTTAAAGTTGGGTTACGGGGTTGTTTGGGGCTGGTTTAAAGTTTATTTAGAATAGGTTTGAAGATTTCAGGTGTCTCTTTCAGGTTTCGTTACTGTTGATCTGGAGTTTAGAGTCTTAATTTGAGGTTGACTTAGGTTTGATTTATTTTTTTGGGGGATGTTTATCTACGGGCGGCTTGTGGTTTAAAGTTGTTTTAGGGTTTAAGTTGAAATATACAACCTTTTTAAGGTTGGTTTCAGGTCTATTTGCGGTTGGTTTAAGAGGTTTATTGATGGTTGGTCCAGCTTGTTTATTTTGTTTATTTACGGATGGCCTGCTATTTAAGGTAGGTTTAAGCTGCTTCTCTAGGGCTGGTTTCAGGTTTATTGGGGATTGGTTCAGGGTTTCTTCACGGTTGGTTTAGGGTTGACTTAAGGTTGATTTAGGGTTTGTTTGATTTTTGTTTTCTTTTCCATAGGTTTATGTTCGGCATTAACCTAGCATGATTTCTGGTTTGTTTAGGTGTGGTTTAAGATGTGTGTTTATTGTTGGTTTGAAGATTCACAACGATTTTTTCCCGAATGCGTAGCGAAGGGTTCTTTTTACCTGGGGGGTCTGGCGGTTCAGACGTTTTATATCAATTTTATTGTTTACTCAAAGAAATACTATTTTAGTTTTTATATCATTCAAAATCCCAAGTCATCCGAAGTTTTCCCTCATTTTCCCCATGGAATTCCTACAATGTGGGACGCCCAAATGTGATGCTTGTTGGTTTATGTTCGCCCCATGAATACTAGAGTTCTTTCCATGTCATAATAGTGAAATTGCAGTTCTCACCAAGGTAGCTATCATAAAATCAGTTCTACTGTAATATGATGTAATATGTAAATCTGACATGCCTATGGTGTCTGAATTTCTATCACCATTTTCCCATCATTTTCCCATCATTTTCCCATCATTTTCCCCACATTCCGACCATTTGCCCTGGGGATTCCGTTGGGCTCCCGCGCGCATCACCCGCCGCCAGGGCCTCAGAGCGCGTCCCGGCGGCCACGAAGAGGCCGTCGACGTCCGGGGCGAAGGGCTCAGTGGGTTGGCGCGCCTGGACGAGTGGAAACGCTGAAGTTCTTAGGCATTTTCTAGCCCCAAAAAAATGGGATTCAACACCATCAAAGATGGTGAACTTGCTAACGATTTCACCATTATGAATGGGATTTGACAAGCCCTAGGGCTCCAAACAACTTCTGAGAGCGTATTTGGGGTTGTTTTTGGGGCTTAAACAGTTTCTCAGAGGGTATTTGGAGCACTAGGGCAGCAAAATTAAAGGACCGGATAACCCCACAAATCAACTTCTTCCAATGATCACAAGCAGATGTAAAAATGAGAGGGGAAAGGCAGGAAGGAAAGGAGATGGTGCAAGACAGGTTGGGTGAAAGAGCTGTGTGTGAAAGAGATGTATGTGACAAAGTTGTGTGTGAAAGAGTTGTGTGTGAAAGAGTTGTGTGTGACAAAGTTGTGTGTGAAAGAGCTGTGTGACAAAGTTGTGTGTGAAAGGCTTGTGTGACAAAGTTGTGTGTGAAAGGAATCTGTGACAAAGTTGTGTGGAAGAGTTTTGTGTGCCACCAGAACGCAAGTGGCAGTAACCAAGTCCCGATTCTGCCACGCAGAACGCAAGTGGATGTCTCCAAGTGCCACGCCTGCCACGCAAAGTGAAGGCTGATGTCACCAAGTGCCGCGCCTGCCACGCAAAGTGAAGGTCGATGTCGCCAAGTGCCACACCGGCCACGCAAACAGCCGCGGCGACCGAAGTACCCAAGGCGCCACCAGAGCCAGTCCAGTGCCATAAGTGCCACGCCTGCCACGCAAAGTGAAGGTCGATGTCGCCAAGTGCCACGCCTGCCACGCAAACAGCCGCGGCGACCAAAGTACCCAAGCGCGCCACCAGAGCCAGTCCAGTGCCATAATTGCCACGCCTGCCACGCAAAGTGAAGGTCGATGTCACCAAGTGCCACGCCTGCCACGCAAAGTGAAGAACGATGGGAACCAAACGCGCCACCAGAGCCAGCCCAGTGCCATAAGTGCCACGCCTGCCACGCAGAATGCACGTCGATGTCGCCAAGTGCCACAGCTGCCATGCAAAGTGAAGGTCGATGTCGCCAAGTGCCAGACCTGCCACGTAGAATGCACGTCGATGTCACCAAGCGCCACGCCTGCCACGCAAAGTGAAGGTCGATGTCACCAAGTGGCACACCTGTGAGCAAGTTGTGTGTGAGTAAGTTGTGTGTGGTCAAGTTGTGTGGTGAGAAGTTGTGTGGTGAACAAGTTGCGTGTGGTCAAGTTGTGTGGTGACAAGTTGTGTGGTGACAAGTTGTGTGTGAGCAAGTTTTGTGGTGTCAAGTTGTGTGTGGTCAAAGTTGTGTGTGGACAAGTTGTGTGTGGTCAAGTTGTGTGTGTGAGTAAGTTGTGCGGTGACAAGTTGTGTGGTGATCAAGTTGTGTGTGGTCAAGTTGTGTGGTGACAAGTTGTGTGGTGATCAAGTTGTGCGTGGTCAAGTTGTGTGTGTGAGCAAGTTGTGTGTTGACAAGTTGTGTGTGGACAAGTTGTGTGTGAGTAAGTTGTGTGTGGACAAGTTGTGTGGTGACAAGTTGGGTGTGAGTAAGCGGGCGGGCGGGAGCGGGGCGGGACTGGACGGGCGGGGCGGAAGTGCACAACCAAAACAAGAACCCCACACAAAGATGTGGGGAAGAATGGTAGAAACGGGTTCCATTTTTTATTGGGATTTAACTAATGAACCGGGGTGAAAAAATTGCATTTCACCGTCGAACAATAGGGATTTAACAATGAAAAAATGTGAAACATGGAGATTTATATATATGTATTGTAGGGAATACATAAAGGGAATTTATTGGATAAACCAAAAATAGTGGATAAATAAACATAGAACAGATATACAGTAATAGAATATGCAACCCCAAATAACGATTCAAGGTGGTGCCCGAGATACGTTTATGTTTGTCTACTAGAGAAATGAGCCACCAAACATTGCGAAGAATTGTGATTTAAGCATCAAATAAGCAGGATTCCACCAATGATAATGAGTCTGCAGAACGATCAGCCTATATCCATGTCTTCTATATATCTATCTATCTATCTATCTATCTATCTACGACATGTATATGTATATTATATATATACATATACGTATATAGAATTATGTGTATATATATATATATATCCAGTCTGACACAATATGTCATATGTACTTATACACACACACACACACCTATGACATATATTGACACCACCTTCGACGTATGCTATCCACCAAAACATGATGTTCAGCTACCATCTAAGTCGGCAATATCCTCCAGTTAGGAACCACCGGCACCTCTGTCAGTTTTGATCGAAAATCGCTCAGCTCTTGGCTATTGAGCAGAGCTATTGATCAGAGCTATTGATCAGTTTTGTTCAGAAGTAACCAGCTTCTGATCAGTTCTTGCTGGACAATCATTACAATCATTACTATCATCCAATTTCTCCCTGGTTTACTTAAATTTAAGCAGACATGCATCAAATTGCTTTTCTTTCCCCATTATTTCCAACAAATTTTTACACGTCCATCTTCCCATTTCGCCCTGCACGGCCTCCGGTTGGTATCGCTGGGAACTCCGGCGCTGGGAATTCAGCAACACCTCCTCTGAGAAATAGCTGGCTGTTTTAAAAATTTGTTGGTGCGTCAGCCCGTGCGTCAACCCAATACCAAACCATCCCCAATATATAGATGTTTATTATGTGGGAGGATGTAAAATGATACCCCAAAAGGGATGGTGTTTTCGGCATTTGGGCTTACCATGGCTTACAATGAACGTTGAGGTGGAACATGATGGAACGGGTTTCATCACCAGCTGTGATGTTGAAACCCATGGGTTTAAATTGGGCCACAGATCAAGGACCAAAACCACAACGCAGCCAACATGTTAGGGTCTGCAACCTTGATTTCTCATAGTCATTGTTAATTTAACTTAATTTCCTAGATTATGGCCTATAGATATAGTATAATCCATCTAATGAATATATATAATGGCCCAATAAATATGGCCTAGTTTTATCCTGAAAACCCAATAAATACGTATGGTGGTTTTCTAAAATATGGATACCCCTAGTTATCATCCATTTATAGATGTGTTTTTTCCAAACCATCCAGCTATGGGGCAACACCATTTATGGAAACCTCGGACCATTGGGCCTTGGAGACCCAAAAAAAAGCCGATGCTTTCGCAGCTTGAACCCTGGACCCCTCAGGGACCCCTCTCAATCTCCTCGGGTCGAGCCGCGTCAATGCCTGGGAGACGTTGATGGGAACATCGTGCGAGTACAACAGAAATAATATGGGAGGATGGGTCAAATTTAAGGCCGCCCTATGGGAGCACAGATTTTAGTCTGCGTTTAGTATTAACCATCTAATTGCTGCATTAGGGTACCCACTTTTGACCTATACCCACATGGATGGGTCGAGTAGTTGCAATCATCAAGCATCTCAATCTGCATGAGTTATTAAACATTAAAAAAGCTGACGAAAAAAGGCCACTTCGGAATATGCCAACCATAAACAAACCTACTTAACGAAAGGTTCCTTGAGATTGTCATAAATAAGCATCAAAAAAAACTGGATCAATTATCACTTCTTTGGATTGATTGAAATCAACAAAGCCCCTTTGATAGTTTGTCGTCATTCTTGCCATTGACATTACCATGTTGGGGTTTTCCTTAATTTTTTAAAGCTCCAACCTGGGATCCAAATTTTGCAGTCTCGGTTTCTATCATGTTCTATCTATTCTGAAGTATTCAGTGAAGATTTAAGATGTTCCGATCCTGGTCAGTGCCTTCTATATCAGAGAGATAGAAGTTAAAACCATAGATACACATGGCCAACATAATTCGATAGTTCACATAACGAGTTGCTTTGTTTCAGGGCATCAAAAATATTCCGCTGCTCTTGTCCGCTACACATTAACCCATCCATCTAATTTGGACGTTTGTGTAACCCAGCATTCTTGTAGCTGCCATATAGGTGTGTATATATATATATACCTACCATCTGGTTATTTAATATAGCCATGGAAAATCACCATTTTTAATAGGTAAATGGGCCATTTCCCATGGTATATGTCTCACTTTATTGCTGTTTCACCCAGCATTCAAAATGGTACATCTGCCGATCCCAAAAAAACACCAAACTGAGAACCCTTGCGGAGGTCAGGAGCCCTGCGACAGAGAGGTGTCAACTCAGTTTGTGAAGGTTTGTAGTGAGCCCAGCTATGGAAAATCACCATTTTTAATGGGAATATCAACTATAAATGGCCATTTTCAATAGTCATGTTAGTTTACCAGAGGGTAGACGACTTTAGATACTGACTAAGATAGTTTTTCGCCAAAAACCTTTCAGTGCCGACTAAAGGCATCTTTGTAGGGACTTCTATACTCCCAAAGAATCCAAATATGTACCATGCGGGTGTTTCGGGTGAAAGTACCCCTCTGGGAACCAGGTAGCCCCCTCAGAGAAAGTGAAATTTACCCGGTATGTTCCAATTGTTTTTCCTGGGGTTGAATTTGACAAGTTTCACTAGTGCGCTATGGATACCTTTGTTGAAAACATGATACCCCCTGAACAGAAAAACCGAAAAAGAACTATACCTTCTGATTGTGAATGGGACAAAAAGGCAGCAACAAACGAATTCCAATATGTCCTTTGCCCTTAGACCGCTTGTAAGGTCAAACCGCATCATATTTGACTTTAACTCCTGTTTACCTATTTGCCATGTTTGCTTTTCACATCTTTCCACCATACATTCGGTTCATCTACATGGGCTTGTCCAAATATGGATTGCTTACCAACAATCACAACAGTGTAATTTTGGGTATGCAGAGATTCCCCAAGTTTGAGACCACTCCGTTCTTGACCAGGATATCCTATATCCCATGACGATTCCTGCTTAACAACTCCATGCAGCTGTGGCCAACAGGTGAATAAATGGGATTATAACTCCTGCAACTAAGGTGAAACATATCACTTAAATGATGTTCAGCCATTCACACTGTTAAGGGCTGTGGCTATGACATTCTATGACTGTATTATTTGAATTATTTGTATATAGTTTTCCCATATCTTCCAACTCAGATCTTATGGCCACCATAGTGTGCACAGTCTCGGCTCGGCCTTGTTCTTTCCTCAGCAGAAGTGGTTGACATTTTCTAGGTCATGTGGCTATAGGTTCAGGTTGAAGACCCAGAACAATACGCAAATGTGATCAAGTTTGAATATTATACAACTCACCAACTTTTCGGGTGTGGCACCCCCCCAAAAAAAAACACATGTTACATACTGATGCAAGGTATCCTGCAGAAACCTTTGGAACATATTTCTGGAATCGGGTTACTTCAGAAATCTGCTTGGACATTTCGCACCCGCAACACAAACATAGCTGGCGATTGTACCATTTTGTGTCAGAACCAGATGGACTAGGAGAACTGACGCCCAACTTAAGGTAACATGATTTAATATTTCTGGACATGAGATGTTTGTTAAACATCCGGATGGCTCAAAAAAGTTTTCGCTACCACAGTTGCTTAACCATATCATATCAAGGACCCATTTGCAGCCAAGTGAGGGATCCAATCAGCCAAGTCACCGGTTTGCGCAACTTTCCCTGCCGTTGTTTGACAGCTTCCTGCTTGTCTGAACATGGATGAAAGCGGGGATACTGGGATACTGTGGCTGGCAGATGTGCAGAAAACCTTGGGGACCTTGGCAGGTTGGCTGCCACCAGCAGAGTCAAAACTTGTGCGACCTATCCCAATATGGGTTGTAACCCAGGCTGCCAGGTTGCCCGGTAACATATTGGAGACCTTGTCACTATACAATTCAAAAAGTCCAAGGTTTCTCAAACTTGTCTGGTTGGTACTTGAGTGGCGTCCCTTTTTTTGGCTGATGAGCTCCACCATTGCGGCTCGCAATTCCGATAAATCCCATTAAACCCTATGAATATCCCATTAAAATCCTATGAAAATTCCATTAGAGTCCCATTGTATAAGTATATAATATATATGACTAATCCATACTAATTGCATCGAAATGCCATGAATGTTGATTGTAAATCGCATTAGATCACCATTTTTGTTGCTTAATGTTTGATAAATTTTGGTGGAATCCACCCGGTCCTGCAAGACGAAGGCCGCATCCAGTGCCAACTCTGGCCCGTCACGTTTCACCTGGTTGGTTGATAGGGACTTCCCAGAATGGATGTGCCATCCATTGGTCACGACAGCTCAGCTCTCCTAAAGGTTTCCTATCTTTGGAACTTCTGCCACCGAAAATGTGCGGTCCTACTGGTAAGAAATAGTTGAAGCCCTCAATACCCCTATGTATATATACTGTATGTATATGTATACCGAGACATGTTAAACAATAAACAAATATAAACTCTCCAACATTGCCGGAAAACACACATGTTCATTTTGCTTAAAACACAACACAGTAACCATAAACTGAGGATTTGCTAGTGCGATGTTTGAACACCATCAAAACCTGGGACTATGTTGCAAATGATTTTGCCATTCTACATTGTACGTCGTACGTGCTTCTTCCAAGGTTGTATATACGTGGGTTCCTGCCTAATTTTCAGCCCGCGCGGCAATGAGTAGATTTGGATGATTCTTAAGACGCTGGTTGACCATGTCCACATTTCTTTGCCCAGAAGGAATCCCACCATTTGATTTGTTTTTCCAGTTTGCCAATTTTTGTTCACCATATATACCCATTGGCAGGTGAAAATCCGCTCAATTTCGTAAAGGCATTTTTCTTCGTCATAAGTTATAATCTCAATTTCTTCAAATTTCACTTCTCCTGATTATGATCATCCATCATCTGAATTCCTCGTGGTGACTATCATGATTTTCCTTACGAGTTGATGGTGATGGACGAACCTGTATATCTTAATGTTAGCCATGTTTTTCCCCATTAACATGTTCGATGAAATCAAAATGGAATCACCAGTTTGATCCCCCAGTAAACTCCCATTATAATATATATAAGGGCCACGGTCAATATTTAGTATATAGCTCCGAGTCATCAATTTTTGAAGAGTGTATTATCGTTTTTCAGGTTTTGGGAATATAGCAAATATTATTGTTTTTTGAAGAGTGTATTATCGTTTTCCAAGCCCCAGCTCAATTTCCAAACAATAAGGATGTCTCGAATACTACTTTCCATTACGGTAAATTTTGATTGTAGCTCATATACCTATATATTTGATATTAAATAAATAAATATATATATATATTTGATATTAAATATATATATATATATTACATAAAGCTCATTACAACCCGCACATCAGCCCCAGGGCACCTTGTTTCCCACGGCCATGCCCAAGCGCATCACGCGTCCTGCTGCTTGCGACAGGCTGGGCGGCTGCGCTGGTGCCACCGGCGCCACAGGAGCAGGCCTGGCAGGTGGTCCCACCCAGTTGTAAGTTGGTTTGTAACCCCCATTCAGTATAGGTATATCTACCATAAACATCAATAAACCCAACTTATTGGAGTTATTTGCAGCAACTTAGCTAACTTTGGGGTACCAGATTTATAGAGAACCAAAAATGTCCGTCTCGGGGAAAATGGTGTTCTTCAAGTTTGTGAAGAAATTTCCTTTCATCTGAGATGGGGAACTATTTTATCTTGACAGCTGGGCCCAACCCTGCCACCAGCCTCTGCACCTTTTGCTGTGCCTCAGAGTAAAAAACATGAGATGAGCCTGAGGTGGTCATGCCTCATAGCACGTATGCCATTATACGCCTTTGGTTCCAGCATTCACACATACACACAAGTATACTTATATACATTGATATCATATTGTTTGTGCGTGTGGGTGTTCGATAAACATGTTGCACGGCACACATCCAATTAGATGTTTGCATGTCCTCTGACATGGTGCGAATGTACGCATTCGTTGCTAACCAACACGACACCTGCTCCACACGGGTCGCCTGCGCCTGCATGTGCTCCACGAAGGATCGCCTGCTCGGGGGCTGTTTTGCTCGGCTGAATCCTGGACTCAACCCTTTCCCAACAGCACGGGCCCAGTATATGCGGCCCATGTTTTCATGTTTACAGCGAAAGATTAAAGTATTCTAGTACCCATACAAATGATTACACATCACATCGCTGTGTCTGAAAATAGAAAAACCCTAAATGCACTGGGCAATACATCATTATTCCTATCATGATGAACAAATGGTCAGGACTGGAGGAGTGAATCTTGAATGTTCAAACACACCGATGTATAATCATCCTCATCATCCTCATCATCCTCATCCTCATCATCCTCATCATCCTCCTCATCCTCATCCTCATCCTCCTCATCCTCCTCATCATCCTCATCATCCCCATCGTCCTCATCATCCTCATCATCCTCATCCTCATCATCCTCATCATCCTCATCATCCTCATCCTCCTCATCGTCCTCATCCTCCTCATCCTCATCATCCTCATCCTCATCATCCTCATCATCCTCATCCTCATCATCCTCATCATCCTCATCATCCTCATCATCCTCATCATCCTCATCCTCGTGATCCTCATCATCCTCATCCTCGTGATCCTCATCATCCTCATCATCCTCATCATCCTCATCATCCTCATCCTCCTCATCATCCTCATCCTCCTCATCCTCCTCATCCTCCTCATCCTCATCCTCATCATCCTCATCATCCTCATCATCCTCATCCTCCTCATCCTCCTCATCCTCCTCATCCTCCTCATCCTCCTCATCCTCCTCATCCTCCTCATCCTCATCCTCATCCTCCTCATCCTCCTCATCATCCTCATCGTCCTCATCATCCTCATCATCCTCATCCTCCTCATCGTCCTCATCCTCATCATCCTCATCATCCTCATCATCCTCATCATCCTCATCATCCTTATCATCCTCATCATCCTCATCCTCATCATCCTCATCATCCTCATCATCCTCATCATCCTCATCATCCTCATCATCCTCATCCTCCTCATCGTCATCATCCTCATCATCCTCATCCTCATCCTCATCATCCTCATCCTCATCATCCTCATCATCCTCATCATCCTCATCATCCTCATCCTCCTCATCCTCATCATCCTCATCATCCTCATCCATTGGTCGGTAAAATGCCTATTGTTTAGGATAATCGGTTCATAATCAGCATGTTTCCCTATTTGCCAAGGGTCAAACTGCTCAGATTGCCATGCCTCCGCTCAGTAGGAGCCTCTGGGGATGAGATTTCCCCAATGTCCTCAGGGTCTGGAGATCGACGAGGACCTTTCGGGGGCACAAATTTCATCTGGATACAATCAATGAATGTTTGAATGTATGTATACACATATCATGGAAGCGGGGATGATGAGTCAATACACGATTACAATATATATATATATATACACACATACATATATATAATATATATATATATATGTTTTTGATGGATTTGGGGATTTGTCAATATACAGAACTATCTGAATGGGGAGCACACGTCCGAATACATTAGTTCCTTTTGAGAATCGATGGAGACTTTGGAGATTTCACCAGCTATGTGGATTCATCTCATCTTTCACGTGACATATTTTTGACGCACAATCTCGGTTTAGTTCATGGATTTTTGCCAGGTCTCAGGCCATGTGTGTCCTTTGGCAGCGATCTCCAGGTCGCCAATGGCGTATATAGTATACCCAGAAAACAAATGGTATGATCACAAAGACTTTCTGACTCAAGAGTCACCAGACCCCCTTTTTTTAATCCCAGTTCTATGGATTTTCCGGGGTGCTACCTGGTAAAGCCAATGATAAAGCAAATCTAACTTTGCCACTTTGGCCCAGGATTCACCTTTTTTCTTGGCGATTTCCCCATAGCTTCTGTTTTGTGAGTTGTTTGTTTATGTTTTTTGACCACACAAATCACATATTTGATGCCACAACATCACATTTCCCCAAGTTAACCTGCTTCTGATTGGTTACTTTCCTACATTCGCTGATGATGCCCGTACATCCCCACAAGTCACTCTGAAAAGTGTGGGCAGAAGAAAACACATGACGAACCTAATACCAAACCACACCCAATCTCACTAAGACTGGTGAATCCTACTCCTAGGTTTTGTAGGTGGTGAATAAACCGTAGTAACATATAACTATAACATACTATGACCCATATCTAACGATAACGACGATAATGATATGTAACTGGGGCTGTTTCATATATAACTATTACATGTTATATATATTATATTATATAATATTATATTATATTATATATTATATTATATATTATATTATATATTATATTATATATTATATTATATATTATATTATATATTATATTATATATTATATTATATATTATATTATATTATATCATATTATATATTATATTATATTATATTATATTATATATTATATTATATTAAATGTTATATTAAATTATATTATATTATACTATACTTTATTATATTATATTATATTATATTATATTATATTATATTATATTATATTATATATATAAATCATATGTATTATGTATAGCCATGTATTTCATGTACCCTATAATTATACATGTTTGTAGGATGGTTTTTACATGTTATTCCCAGCTACTGATGCCTGGGATGCACCCCCCAAATCGGTGGATTTTTCGGGGCCATGCCACGATCTGCGCATTTCGGGGCGTCAAACGCGAAGGGGTCCTGGCCAGGTGCCACGGTCACCAGCCCCTGCAAAAGGGAGGTCATTGTTGCGTCAGCCACGTTCTATATATGTATGGTATATATAGTTTGAAAAGATCTATATTAAACTATATATGCACATATACGTATATACCAGGGGTCGCCCCAAAAGATAGAAGAGTGTATCGGGGATGTTTCAAATGATGGTGGCCCTGCGGTATCTATTTTGATGTTGGCAGAAACGTCTTCAAGTGCAGGCTCAGTGTATGGTCATCCACAAAATCGGGATGTAAATACAATACCTATTGATGGATTGATTCCTATTTTCTTTTGTGGGAACATAAGCCATGTTTTGACTGGACGCATGCGGACTCACCACGGTCTCAAACTCCAAGCACAGGTGGCGGAGGTATGAGGTTGAAACTTGCAACAACTGCACACAGCAGAGGAAATTGATTATGAATTAATCCCCACGTCTCTTGATCTTCATGAAGGCCATATATTTTTTTATATCGTTGTGCGATGTTATCTTCATCGATCGGCAGCAAATCAAGTTGAGGTTTGAGATCTTTGATGTAGATTGGAGTTGCAAGTGCTCTGACACCACCCAGTTTCTCAAGATAAGATTGGATGAATGTCATCGTTTGCTGGTTGTTGGGAAGTATCGGTCTACGAGGAAGACCTGCACACTCGTTTCGCCATCCTAATCTGCACATGGAACTGCAGCGAGATGACTCGAAAGTAGGAAAAACCGTTCTCCTAGAAGGGTGCAAAGATTTTGTATTGCATTTCGAAAACACACGGCTTGTAATGCACCAGTCCGTTTGTTCGGTGGTAACATTGTCGCTTCGTCGCTATGATATCCAACAAATTTGGCAAGGGCACCCGCTCCTGCCACTTTGATGGGAAAAAGCATCCCTGAAAAAATGTAAAAAGAAACCAGCATTTCGAACCAGGAAATTCCCCAGTCTTGCGGATCTTTCTGTTGTAAATCAGGTGGCCACCGGAGGGATTCAACCCAGTGTTTGATGGCAATGCCAATGTTTGGACCTTGTAAAACCATCTGAAAAATGGCTGCGTCACACTGGACCGGTTCCCACACGTCGTATCCCTCAGGTTCAAAATGACATAGCCATTTCATCGCATCATGTCCATATGCCTGTGAATCAAATCTTCCGATTACACGCTCCTGTTCAGGCTTTGGTGTTTGAAGTTTGGTTGTGTGTCCCTTGCCAGAAAGTGAAGACTGATTGAGCAATTCACAGCGAGTTTTGTTAAGAGCCACCATATACTCAAAAACACACAGAAGGCAAGACCTTTCCCGCTCTTGAAATGCCACTGCCCTATCTGCACAATCTCTGATGCACGATGGAATTGTCTTAAAAGCCAGACCAACCACCATGTCAGCACAAAAGTTGCCCGCGATGCGCCATAAATCTTCCAGATCGGTGGCATCGTCAAAAGATCTGTGACTCTTGACCTTGTGAACATGAAAAATATCACGTTGTCACAGGTCTTGAAGCTCCAAAATGAGGTCCGCATTGGGTAACTTGTGGAGACAAAAACTGAAAAGACCTGATTCCACCATCGCCACAATGATACAAACGTAACTGGCATCTGTGAAAAAATCAACGTCCCGCCACCCTGATGTGGAGAGGGCAATTTTACAGGCCGCCACAATCGCTTGTAACTCACCTCTTGCCACTGTTTGATCACCAGCAACCAAGCCCATAGCAGCAACTCTAAAAAGTGGAAGTTGCGGAGGGTCAAGGAATAAGAAGTCAACACAAGACCTCCTTTCATCCTCGGTCTTTGATAAGTCTTGAACAACTGCCCATGCTGCAAGACGCCCAACATGGTGAGCTGGGTGAATTGCGCCACCATCTGTAAAAAAACCTCAAACGTGATTGACCAGAAAATTCCGCCTGTTCCAGAGGGGGCACTTTAATGGTGGCCACAAAGGCTCGTAAAATGGCAATCTCATCAAACAGTCTGGGGAGTGGCATGTAGCACCATTCTGGCCTGTAATCCAAGAGGATCCTGCATGCCTCTGTATGTTGGGCTCTGACATGTAGGGTATCCTTGCATGACAAAAGTCTATGTTCCCTGGTGTCAGGTTCACCACATAACAAGCATGCGGAAATTACGTTTTCATCCCACAAAGCTTTTTGTTGTTGTGTCTGAAAGCCACCAACGACGTTCAGCTTCAAGAGATGTTGATCGGCATCCTCCATTGTGGATAAGAGCTTGGCTGCCAGCTTGAAATCAACATGATTGTCACCCACTCCTTTGCGTGTCATGGAATCAATCACGTGATGTTCCCACATTGCTATGATGCACTGTCGTATCTTCTTGGTCGAATCCTGAAGGATATTGAATTGCAAAAGTTCCGGTCCAAAAACTGTACCATCCTCATGCAACGACCAATTCATGTGTTTGAAGTAACACTTGATTGTGCCGGCAGGTCCAAAAGGACGACAACCTTCATAGTTGAAAGCAAATTTCACAGCCAAAGCTGCACCATCAGGGTCAACGTTGGCGAGTCTGCGAATGGTTCTTGCGCAATGACAGAGAACATAAACGAAAGGGTCATGCAAAAACTTTGAAATTCCACAACATGCCACCAGAGGGGAGGCGTTGTGCCAGTTGCCCACCAGGGCATGAGTAATAGCTCTTCTCATGGTTGTAAAATGATGCTGACCAATATACACTGTATCAGCACTGTAAAACGCCATCGGATAAACCGATGTCTGAATCAAAAGAGCCTTTTTTTGAAGTGAACACGGTAACGATTCAATTCTGCTGATGCGGGTAATGGATTCCTGGATCTTTTCCTTCACGAAACCCAGGGACATGGATTTGTTGTAGTGTACCACTTCGCCAAGACCTTTGACCACGGTTTTGACGATGGTCGCTTGACCTTCAGCAGGGATAATATCAGCACAAAATTTTCGGAACTCTTTGGTGGTTCCCCAATGCCAGCTTTTGTTGAAGTCAATCTGCAGTCTCAGGACCCTTGTGACCTTCTTTACCATGTCAAGTGCCCTCAGATGGGCTTGTTGTTGTCTCGTAAGCCAACTCCAGTTGTCAGCGTAGGCAAACGGATGAACAACCGGACTCATGAGATTGTAATAGAAAAAAGCAGAGGTACCCAGCATGGCCAGAACACTAATCGAACATCCCTCGGGCACCCCTGTTGTGGAGATGATTGGATTCCCAACGCAGCCATTCAGAGTTGGATAGCGTACCATCCTGTCGAGGCTCAAAACCCATGCATCCAAAATCACGTCAGGTATCCCAAGGTGGTTCAGGATCCTAGCAACAGCAAAACGACCAAACGTATTAAAGGCCTTGATCAAATCAAGTGAAAAACCTCCACATGTTTGGCCAGATTGTAGCGAATCTTCAATGAAACGTTTCTGAGCAAATGCAATTTCTTTGACCCCACGACCGGGGAGCCCTCCTGAAATAGGAGCAGGAAAAAAACGTGTCCAGATTTTTGAGACGGTCTTGAAGATCATCTTACCGAACAATCTGTACAAGCAGCTTAGGATTGTGATCGGCCTTGCGTCATGCATTGAAACAGGACATTCCTTTTTAGAAAGGAGGATGGTTTTTGCCATCATCATAGAGGATGTAAAGCCTCTGCCCAGGACCAAGTTGAAAATTCTCACAAGGTCAGCAATACAAACACGGGGGAGACACTTAAGTTCATCATTGGACCATCCACACGGGCCCACTGCTTTACACGATGGCAGTTTATTGACAGTCTTAAGCCACAAGTCGACGTTCTCCATTTCAATTGCAATAGCGGGAAGTCTTGGGAATTGACAATTGTCAAGAAGCCGCAAAAATTCCGTCCAACTCTCATCCTCAAATTGTTCGGCACGTTCATCCCGTTGCCAGAAGGGTTTCCAAAACTGATTAAACTCATGTAAAATTTCATTGTCAGTCACTGCATGAAATTTCACCTGTAAAGTGCCGCAGGCTTCCATCTTGCCTGACAAGTGCCGGAAAAATACCTTTCTTCCTTGTTGCCCACAAAATTCCAGGACAGCATCATTGAAGGACAAAGAAGAATGTCTTGGAATATCAATGTCGTCTTCCAAAAGAAGAGCTGTAGAACCGACCGAAGATCGCAACAATTTGGCCTTGACTGTTCGTACCACTGGAACATCACACAGAAGAGGCGCCTTTTTGGCTTTGACAATCCGATAACACAGTTTGGAGAAGTCATGCTCCTGGTCAAACTGAATGGCTGCACGGAAGCGATCACGACGACACCTGCTCTCTTCCATGCATGCACAATTACAATCATGCTCCGTGATCTGAGTGACAATGTCCAAAGTGTCCATGTCAGGGAGATCCATTGGTAAAAAACCAACGGCCTCAAATGCCAAAATCCAGTTAGACCATCGATTGCCGTAGCCCTTGGCTGAAAGAATGGCTTTCCACTCATTACGAGCAGCGACATATCCAGAATGTCCAGACTGCTCGTGCCGAGGAAGAAGGTCCAATCCCTTGAACCTCCGCAATAATGATTTCAGGCGTCTCACTTGCCTGATTTTCAAACGAGACTTCAAAGTGAAAACTTCACTAGGTGGCATATAGCCGCCGTGTCTGTCTGATTTGACAAAAGATTTTTTGTTTTCAGAAAATTTCTTCCCAAACTTGCATCTTCCTCTGAATGATGCATGGAGAGAAGCATTAACATTCCGGACAGGGTCGTTGCAATGAGCCACAAACAATGCCTTGTCGATTGCAGTTTCGACAGCACCGGACCATGTGGAGAAAGCTGAGTCAACAATCTTGCAAGGGTCATGTTGAAATTTGTGTTCAATGGCCTCGAAATCAACTGGAATATACGCATCATGTATCTGTTGTTTGCCAGGTGAAAAAGCTGCCCAAGATTTCGGGAGTTTCCAAGACAAATTCACATCTTGAACATCCGAAAATTGAAGTTCAATACACAATGGCGAGTGGGGTTCAAAAATAACATCAGTAGAGACTTGCATAGATTGCACATGTTGTAACAGCCATGGATGTAAGATAGCCGTATCGTTTCTTGTTGAACCTGCACATGTAGCGGGAAGAAGAATACCTGTCTTTGCATGGTACCACTCAAATGCTTCCCTTGCCCCCAAGTCACGGAAAAATTGGAAGGAAGGCAGTTTGGATGGTGGCTCATTGAAGTCACCCAAAATACAGAACGGAAGACCAATTTCAGTAATAGCAGGAATCAAACTTGCCAAGAGAAGGTCATTGGGGCGTTTCCCCTCACGATACCGATTTGCAAAACCGTAAACCGAAATAAACAAGATTTCGCGACCACCAAGTCTAATAACAGCCATGGAAATTCTTTGTGTTTCCCAAATGTTTTGACCATGACTACATACTATCGAAGTATATCGAAGCGCGAACTAGGATGGTCTTCCAAAGCCCTTGCACCGAAAAACAAAAAAAACATGCCGCATTCCTTTTGATGAATTTGAGGCTTTGAAAGGTGGCTTCTCAGAGCCAAGAAGACTTCAGACTTTTATGGTTTTCCCCATTATATTTCTTGGACGTCCCAAACATTGATATCATATCATCATAGTGACTCAACATGGGCGATCTTATTTCATCTGGCAACTTTTTTTCTCACAAGAAATCAAAGGCCAGGAATCAAGTTTTTCACGGCTATCCAAACCCAAACATACCAAACACAGAGACATAGACCCTCACAATACAATATGATATGTACATAAATGGACTTGTCCGAACATGCAGTATACCCGAAAATTTTACATGTTTTAAAGGAAGCTCATGATTAACTAGTGGAATTTGAGATACACCATTTTCAGAGAAACCGAAAAATCTTACTGGCCGTAGCCCTGGTCTTCTTATGCAGAATGTTCACCAGGGCACCAGGAGTGGCTCCAAAAAAACGGTCATTTCATTGGTCGCTGATTTTCACGGAATTCCCAGTGCATGGACAATCCCCAAGATATTGAATAGAATTGAATACTATTCTCAAACCATCAAGCAACAGGTTTTTGAACAGTGGTGTAGGGGCACATCACATTGCCAACAGAAGCCCCAGATACCCTGCAAAAAACGCAATCCATGCTTTCTTGGTAACCCAAGGTTGATCAAATTCCAATTGTGTTGGGTAAAACCAATTTTCTAGATAATTTTCCTGGCAAAATCCTCAGCAAAAACCATTGAAATCGCCCTTCCAGCCATCCTCACGCGTTTCTCTGCTCGCCCACGGTCATTGACCTGTCAAGGTCAACGATGCACCGATTGTTTTCAGCCCAATATTTCGGGTGTCTTTTTTCATTTCCCTTGGCTGTATAACGCAAATCTATGCAGATCTGGGATCTTCTATTTGCAAAGACAACATGATAATTCACATGTTCGAAAGTTTACCAAAACAAATGACATTTACTTACATACTTTTGTCTATGTACTCAAGTAAGCATTGCGAAACTGGATAACGATGACTTTTTGTAGTAAAACTTAAGATCTGTTCAACCAGCCTCCTCTTTCCTGGGGCCCAAGTTTGAGGTTTGACCATGCTGAGACACAAATCAGCATGGAACCCCAAAAAATGATAAACAATGCAAATACACGTCCACTTGCAAACAAATATGCTATATATATATGTATTATCTATTAATTATAAATATATAAGTATATATGATATATACATATGAATGAATTTGGGTTCGACATAATGTTACGAAAGCCTCTATCTATTCAGGCAAACTCTAAACAGTTTGCCTTGACATGCATCGTATCAGTTAAAAACTTTTCAGGCTGGTGGTTTCAACCCCTCTAAAACAATATGAATTACTCGGGATCATCCTCTCAACTAGGGTTGAACTTCAGAACAATGTTTAACATAACACATCGAAACCATCAACCAATATCAACGAGATCATTCTTGGTTCATATGGGTTCTATATCCACTACCCTCCGGTAAACTAACATAGCTATGGAAAATGACATATTGATAGAGCATTTACTACTCATAGACTATTATAGATTGTGATTTTCCAAAGCTATGTTAAATTACCAGAGGCTATACCCCCATTTTCTAGATGCTTACTCCCCCTAAAAATGGAGAACTCCACGCCTCACGCACGCGTTGCCATCCTTGCCTTGGAGATCTGCGAATGCTTCTCGGTGACCCTTTTTTAAAAACCATCACTACGGTGACATCGTGGCGGCGTAGGTTTTATTTTTGCAGGATTTTATATATATATAATAAATTAAATATAAATTATACATATTGTAATATTTCTGTTTGTATACATATACACATGAATATAGATAGAATGTACACACATGTGATCACATGTATGCAAGTAATCTTCTGTGTGGTTTACAAAATGGCATGAATTGTCATCATCATCATCTAGCAAATTTCCAGTGTGGCAAACCAATAATGATCCTAGTCCTACCACCCAAAATAAATATGGATGTTCAAGAGTCAAAATGGATACACAACCTTCTGAACGGATCAATGGATAAAATATGCTTTCATTTCCCCCGAGTAATAACCTTCCTTATCTGTTTCTTCAAATCACCATTGCCTATTAAAGTCAAAATCACACAAAACATGCATGTCAATTATCCCGGTAACAAAACCAAAAAAAAACATTAAAAACCACTAAGTCGCTAAAAGATCCTCAAGTAATGCCCTGTTGCTTGAATGCTCAAAACCTTAAATTCCCCAAACAACCCCTATCTCTCTCCTATGGCTATCCCCAGATGCCCTGCAAAAAAAACTCGCCGGTGACTTTTCTCATTTATGTACATTGGAACACCATGTTTCTTGGTGAAACACCAATTTTTGCTTGGTTAGATCAAATTAAATCAAGTAAAATCAACTTAAATCCACGTGTTTCCCAATCGCTGATGATAAAATCAAATCCTACTTTTCACCATCATCATGTTTGATGGTGATTTTTTTCCCTACAGTTCACAGTTCACAGTTAAATCTGTGTATACCCTCCAGTAAACCAACATAGCTATGTAACACGGTTCATTTATAGATTTCCCTATATATAAATATGACGATTTTCCATAATTATATTCCAAAAATAGGTAAATAATCAGTAAATAATCCATTACCAGAGGTATATAATATTATATATATATAATCCTAACCTCTGGTCATAGGATGTAATAGGTACATTAGTTTACCAGGGGGTACCATTCTTCACGCCACCGCCAGGCGACAACTTGGGCTTGGCTCCCGCAGGCGCGTTGCTTCGGGACTGCGCCGGCGGCTCTGGGGGCTCCATGCGGCGCAAGGAGAGCGAGGCACGACGTTCCTGCGGTGCTTCCTAAAGGCATGGGGGTAGCCTCTTGTAATTTAAGGCTATTTAAGGACATTTAAGGTAGCTATTGAAAATGTCCCTGGAAATAGTTGATTTACCCTTTCAACATGGTGATTTTCCATAGTTAAACGTTGACCGGAGGGTAGCCCAAAATCATCCAAGTTATTGCTGATGAGTGGAAAAACGAAAAAAACAATGGTTTTTGGGCCGTTTGGCCATATTTAAGAAACGTACATTTTTGGAATTGACATGCAATGTGGGCCCCCCCAGTTCAAAGTTGGTTTATAAACCCAATGAACTATAGTTGTAATTGTCATAAACAATAATTGTTGCAGTTATAAACCAACTTAGCTGTCTAGGGGATATTTTTTTGACTAATGCCCAACTAGTGGTTAACTATTTGATCTTTAAGTATAGGTTCTTTTTTGTCAAGCCATTGTCAACCACGTACACTCCAAAAACATGGAACGCGACTATTGGGAATATCTTCCAATAATCCCCCACTATTGGTTAACTATAGATATTAATTATGGTAAACTATTGGATTATTAGCACTAGATATATTGGAGTGATTGTCACAAACACTTTCACTTCAAACACATGGAAGGTGGTTGACTATTGGGATGTAATTGGATTACAGTATGGCATTCTGAAATATTGTAAGCATGGATTGTTGGGGATACTGTATACTCTTCCTTTGAATATAATGGGATTGTTGAGACATGTAGTGGGAATATAATTCACTGTGGAATATTAATCGGATTCGTGGAAGAAGGGCAATGGGTGACTCAGAGACAAATAGTCATGGAATATAAATTGGGAAATACTTGTCGGGATGGAATCATTGTGAAATGCTCGTTGCATTGACATTTTCCTAAACAGTGACTGTACTAATTACTAAACGTACTAAAGACTTACGTAAACAAAGTGCATCATGCATGGCATGTTCTTTACATGTTTCAGTTAATGGACGAAACAACAGTCTGTGTACTTACTTCCGTTTGCTGTGCCATTTCCCACGGCATTCTGGTGTACTCAACATATACATAGGTCCTGCATCTGCTGCAAATAGGTCGAAGCGCGTCGATCCTTGGGCGATACGGAGATGTGTGCAAGATGTGTGCAAAGTGAACATGTACAAGGTGGTGCCCCCCCAGTTATAAGTTAATAACCCCCATTCAGTATAGGTATATCTACCGTAAACCCAAGTTATTGGAGTTATAATAAACCAACTTAGCTAGCTATGGGGCACCACATTGTACGTACATACATATTTGGTCTTATGGTCTATATGTTTCATTTTATGTACTTGAATATCGTATTCAAATATCACATTGTATTACTGGAATGTCTATAGAATTATAAAAGATTATACAATGTCAGTATACATATAAATATGGATAAGAAAAATGCACGTAAACAGTTGGGAAAGCATCTAATATACAATATAGATCAATATAGAATATGTTGGTATATGTGGTGTATGGTGTGAACTGTAAACACATCAATACTAATATCGCTTCAGAGCAAAACGTAAATAGATCTAAGTAACTTGTAGTAATTCACTAACCTGAGACAAGGTTTGTTTGGGAGAGTTACCCCTACTAAACACCTCGTCTTCCATGATGGAGCGAGTATTGCGGTGCTTGCACCATGTTGGGCATCCCAGTAACGAGTTGGGGGTCAAACAATAAACATCATGCCCGAACAGGGTACATCCATATTTATATAGACATATAATATAAAATAAGGTTACCTCAAAAGATCCTGGCTTCAACCTGAACAACACGACCTGGTTACTCCAGGTTCAGAACAAGTCCCAGACATGGACCAACCCGTGATACACATCTTGACAGCTTGAGGTTAGTTTTGTGGGTAAAACCCATGGTAGAACCATGGTGAGTTCACCTTCATATCTTGGGATATGACCCCTTTAACTATGATGAAATATAGCCACTTTGTTCACTGGACACTCCGGTGACTGGATTGAAATGAATGCATTTAGTTAGTGTGTGTATATATATATATACATGTATAATGTAGGTAAAACCATAAGAAACCATCCCCCAAATCATCGTAAATAGGTGGTATAAACAATTCCCAAATGGGTGGTTTACTATTTTATGATTGTTTTACACCATTACTCTAATTAATGATTAATGTGGGTTACAAAATCAACGAACATCATTTGGGGGAACCACGCCTTATATTAGAAAGTGCCAGAAATGACACCAAAAAATATAGCAATAGGACTTGTTCGAATGAAGAGACCGCAGATAATCCATGACATCTCTCTTGGCACGAATCATCCAGAGTTGGCACATTCCTAAGGAATCGCCATGTCCTGCGCTTGCGCAAGGAGGCACTTCCTGGAAGTGTGGCCCACGGCTTGTTTTATGTGTGAAAAGCGCTTGGATTTTCCTGGTGGTGCATAGGTAAGTTGGCCCAGAGATAGGAAGAATATCTATCAATAAAGTAGCCACTGTCACTTGATGATTGTGAACCTGAATTTTGAATCAGCAACTGTCTGCTTGAGATGTCAACCACCATAAATCCATTCCAGTTTGTAGCATAGATACCACCGTAGACCATCCACTTTTTGCGGACCACCACCTGGTTTTTTTACCGAGTGACCACTTCCGTGGTCCTGCGGAGTGCATGGAGCCAATGGAACAAAACCCTGCTGGTTTTCAGGGAAAAACTTCACCGGAAACCATGTTTTTTTCCCATGAGATATATGGTTTCCTGTTAATGTTCCCTTAAACCAAGCCATGGGTCAATGGAACTTTGATAAACTTGGGGGACGTGAACAACAGCATAGTTTTTATGGTGGATCTTCGGTTGGAGATTAGCTTTCATCCACCTCCAATTAAACATTGGCCAGTCTACAGGGAACTGTATGGAAACGAATATCAGCAAAAACCAAAGATGACCCATAAAGACCACTTGGACCGCTGGAAAGCCTCATCCATCCCGGAAACAAAGACAAAAACGCTCAAGAACTCTGGATAATTTTCTCGCTTGGAATGAACAGTGAATCGTGAGGGTAGATCATTTCACACTGGAAGCCTGATAGTCTATTCCAATTGAGCAATTTCTTGCACTGGTTGATAGGAAGATTAGTGGGTCGCGCTACTCGCTGAAAAACCATCATTAATCTGGCTCAACTCTCCATCGGCATCGTGATCACATTCCAACTTCTTGTTGCTTCAATCTCAACTTTTCATGGCAAATTTCCAACTTTTCTATTGCTGGGAGTTGCTGGACAGCATCTAAAAACACTTGATTAATAACAATGGTAGTATCTACATAATTGGATGTGTCCTAAAATGATATCCCCAAATCATCCAGTCATTGGAGCATCTAATGAGCATTTGAGTATTGAGACCCTTGAGCCAGGCCTCCCAGAGCCGTAGCTCATGATCCGCGAGGCATCGGGATACTGCTCGTTGGGCTGGGGCGAAGATGGCGAAGGGGGCCTGAGATGGCGTCTCTTTTGACGGCCTGGCCAGCCAAATTTTTGCGATGAACAATCAAGTTTTGCGCGATATACGGTTATATAGATATTTAGATGTAAAATCTTATGGATATACACATCTAAATAACATGAGTTATGGTTGTATATGGACACGCACTGACTTCCTCAGCCGCTGGATCGTGGCACACGGCAGACAAATGTTGGATCCCCATGCGTAGGACAACCAAATTTCAGAGCCTCAAAGTAAATCTCCTATTAGTCCTATTTCAAATGAGATTTTCACCGATTCTCACCTTCTTATATTATGTAATTACACAAATGTGGTGTGAAAGTTGAAACCTAACTTTACTCTTTAGTCCTGTTGAATCCAAATATACACATTAGCTCGCCCTTGCAGGGGTCAGAATTTCTGATATTTTAATGATGGTCATCATTGGTGAATCTTATTCGAAAACACCAAAATTATGTTATCCTTGCATACTGGCAATCCCTATGAAAATCCAACCATTTCCTCCTCGAAGTTACTTGACCCCTTAGTCATTGTACATACCCCAGTCATATTTCCTCAGAAAGTACGGTTGGATCCATGACGTAACATGATGACGTCATTCTGTGTGCGCACATGCTAACAAAAATACTCAATAATAACACGAAATGATAATGATAACACAAGTAATATATCATATTATTTAGTAAAATACCTGTATCTAAATGCAAATATATAAATATATTAAATATGTACATGTATATAACGTCCCACCATAATTTATGATTACACTATATTATACTATATATATATTATATTATGTACAAAAACATATATGATGTAATCATACCTACATCTTCCACCATTGCACGACGCCCTGGACCCCTGGACCCTCGAGATTCCAGCCCGACTGTGCCGTCACCCAGCAACGGCTGCATCTGGCGCGAAGTTTTCGGACGGTCAGATGGGGATGGTCAAAGTGAGTGGTAATAATGACCAAAACCATGGAGCTGTATATGTATATATACATATTTTATGTGTTTGACACATGGATACACTATATAAATACATATATACAGCATGCGTGATATATGCATATATATGTGTATAATCTAAAAACAATTGATATATATATATATATATAATATGATCTATATATACGACATACATGATATACATGATATATATATATACATGATATATATATATACATATATGTACATATATATATGTACATATATATATGTACATATATATATGTATATGATATATGTATATATGTATTATGTTACCTATACTTATATATATATAGATATTACCTGAGGATATTTGATGTCTTGTATCCCTGAAAATGGATGGTACCACGATGTACAACCAATGGTCAGCCATGTAGACATCATCAAGGTGGTGCCACCGGCTGGCTGAGGTGAAAAAATGCCTGCGTTCACTCGGATTTATGGGGGAATAATGGGGAGATTAAGTGGAGTTAATGGGTTTGATAAAACCAACTTAAGGGGCGACCTGGCCGTGCAGGTTTTACATACGAATGCTTTTGTAAATATGTATACAGTATATGTACACAAATCGAAAGTAGACTTTTATCTGAATGCGATGCTGAAATCACAGTCCTTCGTCACCGATGTCCTGTCCATGCAAAGAACCAACCTTTTTCCGATACAACCTGTTTCAAATCAGAGAAACACGCGAACATTGTATAATGCTGTGCCTTTTGCCGAGAAACACATGTTTTTACTGATTAATCTCTGTAGTCATCCGTATACATATATGTATACGGATAGACATACAAAGATACGTACATCACAAAACAAAACACAACAAAACAGAACAAAACATAACGTATATCATAACATAACATTACATTACATTACATACATTACATACATTACATACATCACATACATGCATACAAACATTACATTACGTTACATTAGATTACATTACGTTACATTACATTACATACATTCCATACATTACATTACATACATTACATTACATTACATACATTACATACATTACATTACATACATTACATTACATTACATTTCATTTCGTTACATTACATTGCATTACAATACATACATACATACAAACATACATCCATGCATACAGAAATACATGCATGCATACCTTCAACAACATACATACATACATGCATACATTACATTACATTACAATACAATACATTACATCACATTACATTAGATTGGATTACATTATGTTGGATTAGATTACATCATTACATTTCATACATGCATAACATACATAAATAACATCACATGACAAAACGTAGCATAACGCCACATGACAAATAACATACATTCATTCATACATACATAGATACATACATACATACATACCTACGTACATACATACATACATGCATGCATGCATGCATGCATGCATGCATACACGCATACATACATACATACATACATACATACATACATAGATACATACATACAAAACATAACATAACATAACACAACTGAACATAACATAACATAACACAACACAGCACAACACAACACACATACATACATACATACATACAAACATACATCCATGCATACAGAAATACATGCATGCATACCTTCAACAACATACATACATACATACATACATACATACATACATACATACATACCTACATACATACATACATACATACATACATACATTACATACATACATGCATGCATTCATGCATACATACATACATACAAACAAACATACATTACATACATTACATACATTACATACATTACATACATTACATACATTACATCACATTACATACATTACATACATTACATATATTACATACAGTACATACATTACATACATTACATACATTACATACATTACATACATTACATACACTGCATATATTACATACATTGCATACATTACATAAATTACAAAAATTACATACATACATACATTACATACATACATACATAACATAAGAGAACATAACATACCATTACATTCATTACATCCATTCATTAATTTATTAATTAATATCTTAATTAATTCATTTAGTCAGTCATTCAGTCATTCATTCATTTCTTTCCTTCCTTCCTTCCTTCATTCAATGTTTTTTCATTCATTCATTTCATTCATTTCATTTCATTTATTCATTCATTCATTTCATTTCATTTCGTTTCATGTCATTTCATTTCATTTCATTTCATTCATTTCATTTCATTAATTTCATTTAATGTCATTTCATTTCATTTCATTCATTCATTCATTGATACATTACATTACATTACACTACATTACAATACAATACAGTACAATACAAATACATTACATACATACATAACATAACATAACATGACATGACATAACATAACATTACACTACTCTGCGCTACATCACATCACATTACATTACATTACATACACAGTATATCTACCGGATGTATTTATAATAATATATAGATATACATATGTATAGATACATTATATGCATACATCTATATACATAATGTACAATATATATATATGTATTATTATTATTCAGCTCGAAAGTTATTGAACATATTATATTTGGATTCGACCTCGACTCTGATGTATTCTGATGTGCTACCCATTCCCTTGTCAACTAGCTAGTCACCTCCATGATCAAAGAACATAGGTCACCAGGGTCACAAGTCTGGGAAAGGCTGTGTCTTTTCGAACAAGTTTGCACATCTCCATGGCTGAAGTACGAAAAACTCCTTCATCAAAAAACAACAAAGCAAAATATAGGGGGTTTCTCCTAAATTCGGGGTACCCCAAATGGATAGTTTAGAAGGGACAATCCATTTCTAAATGGATGAGAACCAGGGGTACCCCCTATGACTCAGGAAACCTCCATCTGATATTTGGAGCTGTCCAACTCTAACCTCGAAGCCTTGCCGCTGCCATCAGCATCCCAACTTTGCCTGCGAGGGTCTTCGAGAGGTGCTCGGGGCCATGGCCTGACGTTTCGACATTGCGCCCGCCCAAAGGTGTGGGTGGACCTTCATCGGGAATTCTGGGGCCTCCATGTGGCATGCTTTTTTGGTTGATGTTCACCACATAGATACTATAGTTATGTGCGTTTCAAAAAACAATAGTGAACTTGGAGTTATCTTCACCAACTTAGCAATCCAAAACGGGGGCCCCACATTGGATGATAATTAGGGATTATGCGGATAATATATATATATGCATAGATGTAGATTAAAGCAGATCTCCACATTTGCGATGGTTAGATAATTTTGTATACATGACTTGAGATATTTGGTGAATGTTCGTTGAGAATCACTCTTTTTAATGGGGTTATTGCCATCATTCTGATAAGAGACAGAATGGTATACCTTCAGACAAATAAAATTAATATTCGAGAGGGGGTGCCAACCAAGGTTTATAAATCCGGAGTTAACACTATCAATAATCCCTGGGACTACGGGGCTTTCACTGGACATCCCAGGCATAATAATAATGGATGATATATGATTGACAACGTAGTAATTTGCTCTGATCAATGGTTGTTGGTAGTTAATAATAGTAAGAATAAACACCAGATTAAACCATAACTTTGCAAAACATACTATATTTCCAATTCATACACAAACCATTTTGGGGAGGGTTCCCTTACGTAGCATCTATGATGATATTAGGTAGCGAGGTTGCTGCAATTCATCGAAATTATTGGGGATGTCAGCTTTGCTTTTGAAGGTTGGTTGAATGTGTATGACTTGGAGGTTTCGTAAAGATACGCATATCAATGGGATATAACATGTTGTAGATCATTGGATAGATTCAGTGGGTCACAGCAACACATTGTTTGCATCTTAGAACTTTCAAAGAGTATTTGGGAACTAACAAAAACTTGAGTTTTGAATAGATTTGACCACTGTCCAAAAACTCAGATTGCAGAACCATGCGTTATTCCCCCGTTGGTCCATCCCCTCGGGTGCTGGCAGACTGAGAGACCCCACCGGCAGGGTCAGTTCCGAAATGGACAAGCGTCGCGTCACCTGTGGCCGCACGAAACTCCTCGACGGGGCCTCAGAGGGTTTTTTTCCAAGGCTGCAGCCCATGGGCCTGGGTTGGGGATGAACGGTAAATAAAGTGGGAAGAATTGGGATAATCCCCATAGTTCATCATTATCCCCATAATTTTCCAATAAGCAAAGTGGGAACTATGGTTGGGATATTCATCTGGAAAATTATGTATAATTATTGGAAATCATTGGGAAATCGCCGCCCAATATTGTATAATTGTTGGGAAATCATCGAACTAATTGGGGAGATTTCACGGGATAATGCGGGATATAACTAACCAGCAATCAGATGGGGATGGATCGTGATTGGATAATGATGGGACAATTATTGGACAATAATTGGGTACACAATCGGCTTGATATGGGCTTCCATCCCATAAAAAAAAAACATAAATGAGATAAATGGAAGGCACCCTCCGGTAATCAAACGTGAGGCAATTGGAAATTCTGAAGCGAAATGAAGGCATAAAAACATATAACGTCGTTTTTTTGGCGGGGTGGGTAACGGGTACGTAAATACTGTACACATCCCACCCCCAATATTAAACTCCAACTAAACACGGTATGGTTTAAAAAACACCCCCCCTACTAAACATGTTTTTCTGAGGGTTGTTTAATATTATGGGGAAGGGATCAATGAGAATATGAATTCGATGAATTGGTATTCATGCAATAGGAGATGAATATATATATATATATACTATATATATATATATGTAAATGCTCGCCAGTCACTAAGTGCGGAGCCACCTCTGGGCCCGCTGGAACAGGAGCCGTCTCTGGCGCCTGTCCGGGCAGCGCTGGCGGTAGACGGGGCAAAGGCCTCAGGGTCACACGGTGTCCGCGCCGGAGATCATGGGCCATAGGGGTTACCAACTCATGTGGATATCATATGAAATTAAAGGGATAGTATGCATGTTAGAGGAAATATCAGTGTATACATACATATATATATATATATAAATAATTAACAAGCTACAACATGATCAATGGCTGTATCTGAAAATAGATCATCGCCCAACTGACCATTGACAAGGAGAACATGATTCATAGCTCAATCCCCAAAAAAAAGCAAGAACTGATGTGCTGATACCAAAAAAACGATGTTGATCAACAGTAAGAAATACCGGGGCAAATTAGAAAAAACACAAAGCACAATCCATCATAAGGTCATTGTGAGGTCCGTAAAATCTACGAGTACCAGAAATATGGGTTCGAAATGAGCATAACCCTTGTCCCGAGCTTTTCCCCAAAACGAGGTCTCTCTTTCAAACTCAAGAGCGTAACATATAACATAAACAGAAAAACATGAGAATCAGCGCCGTCATGTCCAGTGGCTGAGACGTGCACCGAAAAACCATAGAAATTTTAACATCTCAAAAGGTGAACCATGTTGCCCCACCGCTTGAAAATCATATCTGGGATGGAGTAGGGATCCCTGAAGGTAAAGACCAACGGACCCAAATCGCACATGTATGCTATCTCTACCAACATATTCCCCCAAAAAACAACCAGGCAAAGTATACGTTGACGTGACTATTTTTGCCTAGATGTCATGGGCTATATTTATACATATGCGGGGTTCCACAAATGGTGGTACCTCAAAATGGATAACTTATAATAATGGAAAATCATGGAACATACCTTTAAATTGGATGATTATATAAACCTCCATGTAATAAATGTAAATATATATATACATACATTGAAATTTTATATATACACATTGAAATTATGTATATATACACTTAGATATCATACAAATATATATAGTTATTATTATTTTTATTCTTTTATAAATATAAATATATATAATCATATTTGTATATGATTAAACTATATATGTATACATTCCCGCCAATTCACAACCTTTCATTTGGCCTGCTTCAAACTGCACGTTCCAAGCAAGTTGACCATCGAAAAATCTACGCAACTCACAGCCCTTCCGTGGTTCAAAATGGTCGGATTCCGGCGCGATAAACCACCTGAAAAAAATGAAAAAACCCATATAAAGTATATGGAGATATATGGAGTTAGCCACTCATTTTTCTTGGTTCCAAATGATTTGAAATAAAGAAAACAAACAATTGACTTCTCCCAGAAATTCCCACCGACTCATTTGACTTTCAGGGATCAGCGGTGACCCAGTAAACAGCTGAGCTTACAAACGCTCTCTCATGCGAATTGGGACCTTGCAGTGGTGCAGTGGCGCAAGCGAGATGTAAACTGCTGCATACTTACTTCCAATGTAGACTTGTATGCAACATGAGACCAGGATCTCCATTGGGTTTCGGCATGATTCGGCCGATAAAACCAGAACACGAGAGGAAACTCCACAAAAAAAATATGTGCAGAGGTAGTCATCCAACTCGCTGTACATTCCGTTGTTACTGCAGTGTTCCATTCACCCAGTTGCGACGGAAATTGTGTTCTTTTCATTAAGTTAAATATCAGCATTATAACAACAAAGATTCGATGTAAGTGGAGCTATAGAAAGTCCACTTCAAAGTCATGTGTATAATTATCGAAAGACATTCCATTGTTATTTCCCGGAAAATCTGAGATCAATCTGTTTCCCCATGGAAGAAAGTTGGATTGTTGTTCTCGGTCGATTGTTCTGGAAAAAACTGTTGTAGTTCTTCGGGCAATTAAGGGGAACATCAGCTTGTCGAAGGAAGTCTAGAAGTCAAACTTCCGAATATGTACAGATGAAAAGCAGAGATGGGAAGAGTCAAAGAAGAGAAGAAGAAAAGAGATCAAAAAAGAGAAAGTTTCAGAAGAAAGCAGATCCAAGTGCGCGAAAAGGTAGGAAAGTCGCGACACACTGTGTTTTTCCAATGATTTGTGGCTCCGGAGGCTCGAAGAGTAGGCTCGCTAAAGCGGCGGGTGCGGAGCCATGTGGCGAGATGATTGATGAACAATTGCACCCCGTTGTGGTGCGAAGCACATTTGCAAGTGAAAAAGCTAAAAATACCTCAGCATTGGACCACTTTTGGAAGTTGAGATGTCGAAAAAGTGCATGCCGTTCTGGCGCGAAGCACATGTCGAAGTCAAACGTGTAAACCATTGACGGCTTCGGACCACTTTTGGAATTGCGATGTCGAAAAAGTGCACGCCGTTGTCGCGCGAAGCACATTTCGAAGTCAAAATGTGAAAAACGCAACATGTTCGCGCTACTTTTGAAGTGTCGTTTCGCGTGGCAAGCACAAGGGATTGCGCACGGTGTTAAAAGCGAGTAAAACGTGAGGGTTTTGTGAGTTTTGTGGCATGTCCAAAAACGATGGCAGGCGTGGGACATTTGAAGAGGATCTGCAAAGATGCATTTTCCGTGGCAGGCGCAGTACAAGAGACATGTTCATCAGAGCTGCTAGGAGGTCCAGGCGCTGATTTCCTGAGACGGGTTGGGTTTTGGAGCATCAGATCTTCAGGTTTGCTGAGATGATTTTGCGTAACAGGCACAGCACTTCGTATGACCTGGCATCACTTTTTCGTGGCAGGCGCAGTAGTTTAGACAGATGGATGGAGTGGAAAAATCGTAAAACGCATTGGTACAAGGTTGACAGCTCTGCACTCAACTTTCCGTTTTTGAAGGACGTCTCGCAGAATTGCTTCGTTTTTGATGTTGTCAACTTTGAAAAATTAGGAAGTCTCGCAGAATTGCTTTGTTTTTGATGTTGTCAAGTTCAAAAATTGAGGACGTCTCGCAGAAATGTTTCGTTTTTGATGTTGTCAAGTTCAAAAACTGAGGACGTCTCGCAGAATTGCTGCGTTTTCAAGCTCATACAGACAGACAGACAGACAGACAAACAGACATGCAGGCAGGCAGACAGACAGATAGACAATATAACTACACCTACCACTACACTACACTACTGCTACAACTGCCAATACAAATATACTACGCTACATTACACTACACTAATTACACTGCAACACACTACAACTACAAATGCAACTACAACCACAGTACATTACACAACACTACGCTGCACTGATTACGTTGCATTACACCACAACTACAACTACAACTGCAGCTGCAACTGCAACTACAACTACCACTACATTACACTTCACTACACTACGCTACACTACGCTACACTACGCTACACTGCACTGCACTGCACTACACTACAGTAGCCGCTACACTACACATACTACACTAAACTATACTGCACTGCACTGCACTGCACTACAACTACACTACAACTACACTATCTTACACTAGGCATTACACCACACCACGACTACAGCAGCAACTGCACTTGCAAATGCACTCATTAGACTACAGCTAGAGCTACAGCTCCACGACACTACAACTACAACTACAACTGCACTACACCACACTACATCCAGCAGTTGTGGTAAGGTGACCACTGCAAAAATTGCAACCATTCCAAAAAACACAACTCCAACCACCTGTCGGTCCATCAGTGGATTCGTTCTGCCATCCGTGATTCACAACAACCAACCTCTCCTATAGGTTTCCTATTTTTGAAACTTCCGCCACCGCCTTGTGCGGCACTACTGGTATTCTTAAAAAATGATGAACAAGATGGGATAAGTCCGGATAAGTGTAAGACAACAAGATAGAAAAACAAAATCCCAATTTGTGGTTGCTTGCTTTGTATCCCCCGAGTCTTGGCATTCGTTTTTGTTCATCACCCCAACCCATTCTACGTGACGTACCCAGCCTCTGGAGGAGTGTCTTGAACTCGAAGCACTGACCTTTTGCCAGGATGCAGATCGCCAAAGAAACACGTATTCAATCTGGGTGTGGGTAATCATGGGATACTCCTCAAAGGGCTACTTCTAAAAGTTGCTATCCTTGCACAAAAAATCTGAAAAATCTCAAAAATTCAAAAAAATCAAAAAGCAACTGAAAAAAACTATCCACGCATTCCAAAACGAATTCAAAAAAACGCAAAAAATAAACAGGAAAAAACGGAACATATAAAAAAACAAACAAACACAAATTTACATATTAAACAAAAACGAAAAATGAACGAACAATTCGAAAAAAAACAACAACATACAAATTAAAAAAATCAGAAAATCAACAAACAATCACAATAATTAAAAAAAACAGAAAATCTAAAAACAAATCCAACAACATCAAAATTAAATTAAGAAACAGAAAATCGAACAATACATTTAAAAACAAACAAAACAAAACAAGAAAAACAAAAGAAAAACATGTCCAACTGTTTTGAAAAAATAACAACAAAATTTAAAATCAGCATTTGAAAAAAACATTAAAAACATGAACGGAAAAGTATTTTGTGGAATGAAAAATAATTATTTGGAATGGAATTGCATTATTTGGAATGAAATTGAAAAACATTTCGAATTAAAAGCAATAAAAAGGAATGTTCCAGGAGTGTCCCTATGAGGAATGTCCCTCTCCATAGAGAAGACCGAAGCATTGTGCATCCACGATCATTGTCCTACCCCCACGGATCAACAGACCTAAATTGAATGCATTCCCCCGCTGCTGTATTCCAGTATTCGTGTTCCCCATATTCATAGTGGAATGCTGGCAGGAAACCTTGCTAAGTGGTGCCAAATGTTATGTTCACCAGACCATAGCTTGTTCTAAGAATCAACAAACTTGGAAAAACGAGACACATGAAAAAAAAATGGGAAAACCAAAAAGCAAATCAGCAAAATCCAAAAAACACAAAAGCAAAATAAAAGAGAAAAACTGTGCAAAAAAAGGACTGTCAAAAAGGGAAACAAAAATGGAAAAAATGGACTTGTCCATTTGCATTTTTGCTTGCAATTATTTTTCTTTCTCGATTTGTTTTTTTGGCTTTCAAGTTTAAA